ATACTATCGGGAGCAATCGAAAAAGTCGGTCTCCTGTTTGTTATTTTATCCAGTATTATGAAGGCCCCTATACCATCAACGAGTCAAATACTGAGCGTCTAGTAGTAATGGATGTCAGTAATATTTTCGAAAAACCCAGGCGCCTGGCAACCATGGGCCAAGTCAGGGTTGCTATCGACAGATTTCAGAGGGTTTTTATAAAAAGTATACCATATATATACCATATACCACAGTACCACTATTGAAAACCCGAAAATCCGCTACCAGTATGCAGTGTATGTTTGCTGTTTTGGCCATAAAACGAAAGCTGGAGGGTCATCGTCAGGGAGTGAAATCTTGATTAGCTGCCATTATGTTCACTTTTTCATAGATCAAAGTTTACCGGTTGCGAAGTCATGTTGCTTTTGTGGTATGATTTCAACAAGTACATAATACCTTCGTCTAAGGTGATCCACAAACACCCTTTTGATGAATAGTAACTGCAAATTTCCTCTTTCCTGGTCGAATTACATTTGGACAGTTTTCTTCTAGTTTGAGTGCTTCGTACGCCCTAGGGAACTCGGTTTCGATAACATTCATAGTATCAGTATGACTCTCTCAAACAGTAAGTCCACATGTTCCTTTAAAATAGATAATCCTTTTTTCTATATGTACCCGTTAAACTGATATCCGTTTTCCGTACTTCAGGTAAACGATGAAGACAAGTCTCTCCAGATGCATCTGCTGTATATTGTCATTTTACTCCAATTTTTGACTGTTATGTCTTACTTTTGAAAAATAAAATTGTTGCATTCAGTAAATACAGGTTTATTCTCTTTGATGGAGATCGGGGAGGTCATGGAATGTTTAACAGGACTGAAGTAATATTTTTACTGAAAATCTGAGTGCGCAGACTGACGTGCGGTACCATACAGGTTACTCTTCAGTTACTAATGTTCTGTTAATCTGGGTAGGGGCATTGCTCGATTATCATAGGGCATTTGGGCAAGCAACTATGAGATTAGACACAGAGACGGTCGGGATATGTATAGCGCGCGTCTACCCATCAACTGCCGTGACACATCATGATAGCTATAATAGGTCGTAAGAAGTCATGAGTCCGTATGTTTTCCAGGAAAATAACGAATATGTGTACTGTATCACTTAAATTTATTACGTGTGAACTAGGTGAAGAGAGGCACGTGTTTCACAAATTTCTTACTACGGGTAATTTCATAAAACAAAATAGCATCAAATTTACAAATTTATTCAGGAAGATTCACTAACGATGTGATGTCAGACAAAATTTTGCAACAAATTTCAATCTGAAACTCGCATGGTAATGTTGAGCTGTAGTCTTTGATAATTTTTTAAACGAAAGGATCAAAGAAGTAACTCACAAACATTGGAAGTAGTTATGAGACTAAAGCGCACGTTCAACATGCTTTTAATAAGCTTTGGAGAGGCTGCTGTTAGTTGAGTCTTCTGTAAAGTTTCATCTTATCATAGTTCGAACGACGAAACAGTTTTAAGGCCTGTGAAGGCTCACTCCAATTTCATTCTAAATGAAAAAAAACAGGAATGGCTTTAGTCAAGAAATATGTCACAGGTAAATGAACAAATTGCATGTTTTTAAGTAAAGAGTATGGATAACTGCAATTTACCCCGAGTTCATTGATATCAGTATAAGATCGTGTCAGCTACTACAACTTGTGCAAAGTGTAGTATGCGTTAGTACCGTATTGTACAGAATTTATTATTTTGCTCCCATTTAAGTATTTCAATGCAACTGCGTTTGATTTTACGGAAAGATATACAAGTAGAGTTAGTGCCTGATAAACTAAAATTCCTAGTTATCAAAAAGATTTTTGATGTTTTTCCGCAGCCATATGTATTCAATTAAGACGCAGAACACTCCTCATCCAGGACTCTATACTGTTGTTTTTCAGGAAAATAAAAACACAGACACTTATTTATCCTGTTATCGATGTTAACGCTGAAAAAATTATTTAATGACAGTGATCTTGAAATACAGTCGGAGCTAGAAGTACAGTTTACAAATAAACAGAAAACATACCCGTCAGGTTTTTTTTCAAAATGAACTCTATCCTATACTACATGACAACAACAGCGTCAAAGACACTTTTCTTCCTGTTTTCAAGCAGATTGGTTTAAATCTGTACACTCAATAATAGTAAGCTGATATGGGAATCGCTGCAGTCTGTTAAGTTATTATAATGGATCCATGTGACTACTATCTTACGTGTAACTTATTAACGAAATGAATTAGCGATATGTTAGGGCTAGTGGGGGTATGATAAATATGACACATCAGTATAACATCCTTGTGATTTCTCCTGTTCTGCACAAATTCCAAGCTCACAACTTCACCTTCCTGTAGCTATATACGCTGTAATGCATATACAATTTTACACTGATCGTATTCTGGTTGCGACGATTAGGTATGCCAACGATAACGAGTGAGCAGTTCTACTTAATAAACTGACCTCCTTTATTACATGCTTCAAGCAATATACTTAGTAGTAGTGTGGCGGTAAATGAATCCTTAAAATCAGTAGCCCTGTGGGTCTTAGACACTTGATGCTGACTGGATTAGTTTTAATTGACTCACTTAGCTGAAGGCGCTCGGTCACGCATCCGCACCAGATTACGATCGGGAACGCCGCTATCGACTTCTCTTGCAACTGCTAGACGCTTCAGATCAATTACATCCGGATATATTGATAACTTATGAGATGTATCTTCGAACCTTTTCGCTTCCGACTTTTGATTCCACCAGGTGGGCACGATTCAGTTGCAGATGTTATTGGTTAAAGTGACGTCAAACTACAAATACCTGTTGCGTCAGTACACTTGAAATAAATTGATTATACGATAGCTAAGAATATCAAATTAGGCAGGTGTCATAATTATTGTTTCATTTGCACAGACATGTTACTTAAGTAGTCAAATGTAGATTATTAAGCCTATAAACACAAAAAACGACTGACCTAACAGAGTAAAAGTGATTAAACTTGTTATGATTTACGATATCATTCCAGCATATGATACATGTCCGACGTAACGCATTTGGACTTGGCAAATTAAAATTAAAGCCATAGAGAAATTCACAGCATAATCTAGCTTTTCAATATAAAATGCGTAATAGTATGACAGATTAAATGACTACATGAACGTAAACATAACCGTTATTCCGCTAGGCGATACATGTCTACGTGACAGCATTAAGTATAAAACCACTCACCAACGAGTCCAAGTCAAAATAACAGAGCGCATTTATCCAGTATTCTATATCTTTGTGATGGGTTGCCACAAAAATCAAATAATCTCCTAAGGCTTGTCACGTGGTTTTAGGCAGTGATTCGTGATTGTTGGTTTTTGATTTTCATACTCTTGAATTTCAATTTTTCTGCCTTCATATTTATGTCCTTCATGTCGTTGGGTTAATGAAATTTAGTCGTGTCACTCCAAATCGAGTTCATTTCATCAGTGTAATCGGCTTAATTCATTAGAACTAGCCTTCTTCCTTTATCCGGCTTGCTTATGATGAGAGAGTTGTCTTTCCCAAGCATATGTAAATCATCTCAGTGCTGTTTGGTGAGTGGAGTTTTCAAGGTACACTTACTATTTTTTTCATTGTTGGCAGATGTCCACCAACGTGGTCTTGAACCTCCCACTGTATATTTTTCTGATCATTGACCTATTTCCGATTATGTAACATTGATTTAAGCTTTTATTATTCTTATCAAAAACTAGTACACCTGTCATTACACTATCAATTTGTACTTTTCACTTATTATGTAACATTTTCCATCGTTATCATTGACTCATAAACCACCTTGATTGGTTTAATAATTTTGTATATGCATATAAATATTACTGTATATTTGAGTAAAGCCTGGTGAGTATCTAATTGAAAACAATATTGTTTGCTTATATATGTTGTTCTAAATTTACAATATAGGAACTTTTCAAATTCAGTTTAAATAGAAATTTAATAGGGATAACGACTTCACGTGAAAACAATATTCGACACTTATTTAACGCACTTCACTCACCAACTAGGTAGATATACTTTATTTTTAAGGATAAAGCTGTTTCTTTAATTATGCGGTCAGACAACCTGAAACTATGAAAGAAGGTCCTAGTATAAATGGTTTGCGCACGACAAATTTCACAATTCCAACGGATCGAGATTCATGGAAGGAAATCAATGTTCACCACACAACTGATCAAGAATCTAAATCTAGTTTCCCCTGCTACGATCTAATTAACTATCGAACTGCTCGGTACTGACAAGTTAAATTTCGGGATAAGTTTTTTGGAACATATCCTACCAAAATGACAGACAACAAGTGTCACTTGAAGGAGTTCAAGATGACCGGTAATGAGATCCAAAATCTGTGGTCACATTGAGATTTATATTTTCTTCTGCCTTTGAGTTTAGAAAATGTTGTCCTTTGGAATAACACTACAAGGCTTCTTGTTGTGCCATAACTGAAGCCTTTGAGGACCTTGTTTGATAGGAGAACCACGAAGCCTCTTAAATCATTGCTAGATCCGACTCGACAACGATCTCAAACTAACCACTAATCTGGGATACTTGATAGAAGAATTTGACTTGTCAGAAAATTTAACTCTGGTTAAAAGAAACGAGCTTCTAGATCAGACTACATATTTACGACCGGCTAAACAAGCATCTAGTCTATACAAATGCCACTATGACATCGGATATGTATTGAGTGTTGAATGAGGTTGTTATCAGATATACGACACTGACAAATTTTGAAATAAACGTTATTTAGCCATAAACTCAACACAATGACATGGTTTTTTGAAGTCAATTTGACTAACTTTAGACTGGCGGCTTTCTTGAATTCGGCAATTTGTCCTAAAAAGCATGTAGTGAATTCTTCTGACTGGGAATCCTAACTCGCATCTTATATTTTGTAATGAACAATAACAAAACACACTCATAATGATGCATTTCTCCTCATAATATGTCTTTAGAAAGCATGGAATGTAATGATACGTGTGGAGTGTTTCCCCCTAGAAAGATGTGTTTAGATCAAAACGCTGAGCTTTTCTCGCTGGAGGAGCTTGGACAGATACTTAGTTTATGCTCTTATAGTCAGGATCTCGGGGTCGTTAATCAGGAACTGGATTTGCTGGATGATATATGTACGAGTTATATGGCGGATAAAATTGCCGGACTTGCAAATGGACAACAACTTACCTCCTGTAATTTTGCACGTGTTGCGGATTTTACACCCGGTACTCACTCCATTTTTATTCCACATCCGAGAGAAAACAAAATTGTGCAAGATACTCAAGTTTCTGAGGAATGTAAATTACCACCTAAGAATGAAGCTGTTCCTTCCTGCCAGGAAATCGTACTAGATGCTAAACGAGAGGCTTCTGTTTTGCAACAAGTATCAAAACTCCATAAAAAGGGCCTGTGGTCGTCTGATCGTTTACCAAAGGTTATGGAGCCGAAATGCGGAAGACTTCACTACACGCATCTCCTAAATGAGGCGATTTGGTTGTCAGTTGATTTTCATGAAGAAACAAAGTGGAAGAAATATATGGCAAGTAAGGTAAGTAGTTTACACTTCATATTTCTTGTGCAAACGCTTGATTGATATGAATCCATCCGTATTTGTTATTTTTTGTCGTTATCGATTACCTATAGATCTGATGAGCGTTGTCGACATAATTGTCAGTATGAATAAATTGCGTACAACTTATCGTGTTTTTAATCGATTGGGGAATCACTGATAATGTTTCCATGTTTTAATTGCCTTTCAGGATATCGTCTAATTAAATAGTTCAACATAATACATGTTCACTACATCTCAGTAAAATGATAGCTATCAAGTGATCCAAGCCGAGATTATATTTTTGAGATCATAAACTATATTCTTTAGTACACAGATCAACTGGTAATACTTATGCATTTGTGTAATTACAAGTTCTTAGCGTTCTTATGACCACCAGAATAAAAAGTCGTCCCCATGTTGGAAGATTTATACTTTTTCCCAGTTCATATATTTCTACCGGATGTCTTTTGACACATGGCTCTTTTGTCACTCGAATATAAGTTTCGGTCTTTGTAGAGAAGCTATTCACGATAACTGAATAAACTAAAATCCAGATTGATTTCTTTGTGTTCATGATTATTGTGACATTATACAATTCTCTCTAGCTACTTGCGTACAGTCTCTCCTGAGCATTACCTGCTTCCCTACCTATCATTATATAAGCTAGGTCACATGTTATTTTCACGTAAACGCTGTTTGATTACTTACGGACTAAAAAGTATTTGGCAATTTGGACTTCGGTTGTGAAAAAAGTGCAATACACTTTTCACCGTATGATATTTAGACGTATTAGAACACTCGTCCTTTGTAACTGAGTATAACGTGTTTTCTTGGTTGGTTGTTTTGGCATTTATGCATATAACAGTTTGATTAGAAACCTTTCAATCACACTTTCCAGTGAAATATATTTTCTGCGCTTTTATTCAAAGGGATGTTTTTTAATAAATTCCTTGTTGAAAAAATGACGAGTTTAATCGTTTTTTCGCTCGCTTTTCTTAGCGATTACGTTTGTCTCTTTTTTAATTTAGCTGGCTCGAGCCGCGCAACTTTACCTTATTACGCGCCATGAATGGAATCGACAGCTTCGGTGTTTTGAAGAGCAGCTAAGAATGGGAAATGCTGCTCGTGTGGCAAAGATGATCAAGGATTGGTGGGGCAATGTAGGCCAAGTAAGTCAACTCTTGTTTTACATCCATCAGCACAAAGAGACGTCCAGTCGTCAGCTCATTCATTTCATCATAAATTATTCTATCCAGTTTTGTACGTAGTCGCATTAGAAGTTACTTAGTGTAGTTGATGGTCTATGCGGACGCCGTGATGGGCTTACGTATCTGACTTCCCATCCATGTTCTAGGCTCACATTAAATGACAAGTATCATGCACCAGTAATTTTACAGGATCAAAATGAATATCAGAAATAAGCGTTTTAATTATTAAAAGGTTTCTAGACAAAAAACGATGACCAAAACTTTGGGTATTTTGTTTTCAAGACAACCGATAATTGTTTATTCTTCAGATTTACGGACTTTTACGTCACTATGTTACATTTGTTCGCTTTCTTTTGCTTATTTGTCCTAATTGTAATATTGTAAGTTTAACATGCATAACAGTATTATACAAAGTTTATAAGAAGTCTATGAGAAAGGACAAAAACTCTTGTGATAATCACAGTGAAATCTTGACTAATGTAGTAACTAACTTGTTAGCCTCTCAAATCGTCCAACACTTGTCTGATGCTCGTAAGTCAAACTCGAAAAAAAGTCTGGTTTCATACCTGGATGTGGTTGTGTTGATTAAATATTCGTTTTCCGTTAGGTCTTATAATGTAGACGTACTTACCGACGTCCGACAATAGTCACATTTCTTGACTCGAGAGTAGCATTCAGTTCAGTAAAACAAGAAGTTTTGTGAGGATGCTTGTCATTAAAAGGTATACCGAAGATGTACATAAACCTGATGGCTGAATTATTTTCTAGTGATTAACCCACTTTTTATTTCGCTTCAGGACTTGGATCTTGTAAGTTTAAAAACGTCACAGAGACGTTGGGATTATGCCTATAAAGTGAACCAACATTCTATAGCTCACTTCTCTGATATGGGTCCAAGCTGGTTAGCTTCTGTAAATTTTGACCTAGAAGATGCAGGTTTCCACGAATCTTCAGATACGTCACATACTCTGGATGATGAAAGAATCATGCAATATATTGGCGGCGATGGAGATATTGATGATAAAGATTGGAAGCCAGATATAGAAGATGAAAACTCTACTGGACCACATAGTTGTAGCCGGTCAACTAGCAGTAGTCTGGCAGCCAGTTTTGTGGATGATAGTGATATGAGTGGTTTTGGAGTCGCTGTTTATTCACCTAGCGATCCTTTATCTCCAGAAATCAACTTGACTTCGTGTACCAGAGCTTGCAATCAAGTTAGCAAACATCATGGATCAGACAGAAGACGAAAGAGTCAAAGCGAGCATTCATACACTTCCGACTGTGGACATTGGGAAGATGCTTCTGAAGAGACTCATGATATTACTTCAGAAGCTAGGGTAAATTCAGATTCACCAGAGTCCTGCGACCAAAGTGTTGAAAGTAATGAGGTGCAAGGTTTAATATCTGACATGGAAGTTCCATTGAATCGCTTTCTTGAACCCTATATCGATCAAGGATGGTGCATCAAAAATAGAGTCACATCTAGGTCTGGATATCGTTCTTCAGATTCGGATATTTCAAACTGTGAACGTGATTGTTGCTCCTTCGATATGGTTTCTCATGTAAGCTAACTTTAGTTTGTGATAGGTTTATGGTCTTTTAAAGGTAGAAATAATCAGGTCTAGAATTATTTCTTTTTAATTTCCTCTGTTTTCAAAGTTCAGTGTATGCGAATACTTCTAAATCTCCATAAAAAAACAGTAAGTAGTTTAAACAGCTAAAATCGCGGGCAACTACCAACCTTCCTATCACATAATGTGTGGAACTCTCCGTACAAACTCGACTTCAGCAACAAAGTACTTTTATCTTTTTAATCAATTAGTATGTCTGACCACTCATTTTGATGCTTAATCTTGGTTGGAATAGGAGTAGGTTAGGAACAACCTAAGAAAGGTTAAATCAGGACATCTTTGGATGTATCACGATCATTTGTCCCTTAAGGCATCATTGTGTTTTGCGCGACATATGCCACATCAGGTAGCCACAGTTTTGTGCCTGGCACTATCTGGGAGTATGATTATATGAAATTATTGTAAATAGATTGTGACGAAATCTCAGCACGGATTCAGAGAGCTCATTTGGCTATTACCGACTTAAGTCACCTATGGCGAAGGTGAGATATCCGTCTATCAATTAAGGGACGAGTTTACTGCGCGGCAGCTCGTTCTGTTCTACTTTACGGATGCGAAACGTGGTCATTAAGAGTAGAAGATACTCGTAAGCTACTAGTATTTGACCACATATGCCTTAGAAATATTGCTGGCGTCTGCTGGGATCATCGGGTATGTAATAGTGAGATTAGACGCAGGGCATTAGGGAATGAAGGTAAATGAGTTGATGAGGTTGTGAATCTTCATCGACTGAGATGGTTGGGCCACGTGTTACGTATGCCTGAACACCGATTATCACGACGCGCAATGCTGACTAGTTTTGGGAATGGTTGTAAGAAAGTTAGGAGTAACCAAACCAAAACTTGGCATCAGTGCTTGAAGTCACAAACTTCAAGTCTTAGCCATGTTGATAGATGCAGACTACTTGGTTGGTGTCCGCGTGACTTTCGTAACCAATGTCTGGAGACTGTGGATGACATGGCTCAGAATCGATCACAATGGCGTAGGTGTATACACTCTGTCTTCTCTTAAACCATGAGATTGAAATTGCTTTATATCTTTCTTTCTACGAACTAATTCTTTCTTCCTGTACTCAATCCGTATACGCAATCTTTCTTTTATATATTACGACCACTGAATTAAGTACTTCTATGAGTCCGGTGTTCATGTTGTTGTGCTAATGAGGTATTGCAACTTGGACCGATGCATGTATGTGCCTGGTCCTAAGTTGTAACTGACTGACTGATGTATCATCGATTGGAAGTAGGACGCCTGCCAGCAGAAGATTGAATTGAAGAGAATAGGGAGCGGCAAAAGAGTAATTGTAATATCAACAAGATCAGAAGAATCATGAAGCACGTACATGACAAATGAATGAATGTGTACAAATGATATATTTAATGTATAGTTTTCACGTCTTACGAAGGCCCTTTGTAATTTCGCGTTGAACGAAAATTGATTTACCGTATATGAATTCCCGTTTACTACAATATAACTAACCGATTAAATTCCTAGATATCAACTTTTGCTCTGACAGACTAACAGTAATAATTTTTGCAACTATCTTTGTACATTATTGAAACTACAAATGTTTGGTATCGTATCGGATTGTTACATAGTTATTAATAGTTTTCTTGTCTTGTCGTCCAACATTCACTAATGACTATCGCCAGGATACAGTTGTAAAAGCTTTCTATCTGAATTTCTTAACTGAATGTAACACTCAAGCATTTAACGATTTGTCTGGGTATTAATTCTTGAAAAAAGCACTTATCAAATTCCTCTCATGGTCAGCTCATGTATGTGATCTAATTTTTTGGCGTGGGGTTAGTGCTTCTCGATTCACTTGAGATTTAACATCTTAGCTGCATTGCTTAAGGATATAGACATGAGTTTCTGAGGAATCATAGGGTTTTAAAGCCACAGACAACTTGATATGTATCCAAAAACAAGAATAGTTTTATGTGGCACATACGAGGGAAATATTAACTGTTCGTTCATTTCACGATGCAATGGACGCTACAGTTTGTTTTATGCAACAACTTTAACGAGTACATTGCAAAAATCAGAAAATAGTTTTTAAACAACAGTTTACGTTGTTTACATGAAAACGAATTCATGTTTGTATTGTTAGTTATGAAGACATTATGACTTTTATATTTTATCATTAGCATGTTCAGAAAGAAATATCACTTCTTCAGAATGAAGCGGACATGCCTTTACATCAAATACTTCCTAGTGGTTACATAGATTTCCTTTCCAAAATTGATGAGCAAAAATGTTCTACTGTGTATAATCAACTTGATTCACAAGGTAATCATCATATGACTGGATCATCCAAAATTGGTAGCAAAACAGATGGGAATGATGGTGATTCTTTATCTGCCATAAATAATACTTTATGCTTGGATAATGGTGATGGGGATCTCATGCAACTTGATTCGGTTAGCTCTAAATCTTCTGGAGTTTCATCTTTGACAGATCATAACCACAGTGAGTGTGACAACTTACCGTCATCGAAAAGTTCATTTCATATGAATTCCCGTACAGTTCTTGCACCCTGGTATTCTTCCCCCCGCCTTCTACACCTAGTCGATTGGCAGACCTACATGCAGCAGCACTAGAATTACTCCCTCTAAAATTAGTATCAATGGCAAGTACTGGTTCATCTCGTCTTATTCCCGAAGTCTGTACTCTTCCCTATAGTCCAACGCTTCGAATCCCTTGTCTTCCAACTCCTAGTCTTGGTGAGTTTGATTAAAAGCTTTTTCAACATTATTAAGTAGAATTTTATGTAACACTAGCTGGTTTGAGAGTAGGGTAGTTTTACTACTCGCTCTTCCGTTAATAGTATGAAAATAATCTGATGAAAAGCAGCTGTAACAAAATTATTATTTACCATACATTTGAATTAATCTTCTTTACTTGTTCAGCTTTTGTGTTTGAAAAATGTTTTTATTAAGAAGCATTTAGACTCTCATTGCTCTTAACTTCTTTTATAACAACTTATTGATAGACCATTTCATGCCTTTGTCAAATAAACCTATTCTTTATTGGGATATCCAATTTAGTTCCCTGTTTATGAATTGTACAATTTCATTGTAGTAACCAGGTTTCCAACTTATTTTTAGGATCATTTGAAAATGTTTTTCATCTGCTTTGTTCTTTCAGGTGCGGCTGTCACCTGGATGCGACATGCTTTTGCACGATGTGTTCCAGTGCTCTTACTAACTAATAGTCATTTGTCTGGTGATGCTGAATTGGCTGTGGCTGCACATCTCGGACAACTTTCAGTCGTTGATCCTCGACATTATTTACTTTCAGAATCGTCTGGTGAAATTTGTAATAATACAGTCACGGGTGTGTGGGGTCCTCATTTAATCGTAACTCCATGTTTATGCCTGCCGGCTTGGCGGAGGCGTTTACAAATGTGGTGCCCTGGTTTTCGTGTTGTATGTTTGGGTCTTGGTCGCAGAAGTGAACGATGTGGTACTGGACATCGCCTTCGTGACAGTGTAGCTCGAGGTTCTGTGAATATTTGTTTGATTAGTTATACTGCTTTACGCTTAAAACCCAGTCGTTTCACACGGATTCAGTGGAGTTCAGTCATTTTTGACCAGGTGAGATATCAATCTGGTGATGAATATTGTTTATTATTCAATCAAATATTTACAACTTTTGTGAATTATAATTTCTGGCTTTTTTTACTCAATAGGTGTATGTTGTGAAATAAATCTTAAATGTGTGTATTTAAGTGATAAATTGCATTTAACTTAATAATATATTCTTTGAAATTGAGTGGACCAAATATTCCATTAATTATATGAACTAGTCAGTGAGTCAAATGTAAATACTGGAAATGAATATGAATACATATACCAGAATGGGCGGTTTATGGAGATTGTATTAATTTTATGGTTGAATTCATTAGTCGATTTAAAGCTAGGTCACCGTGCAAAACCTTGAAGCACTAGACAGCCATTTCGTCCTTGTATGTGACTCATTAACCATGTGTTATAAGACAGTTACTCACTGAAGACAATGGTGGATGGTCGCACAATATCATGTATTGCTTGGAGCTAGACATTAACATCGTCGGATGCCGGCTCAGTGGTCCAGAGTTTAAATGTTCGCGCGCGAAGCCGAAATCAAGCAATTGAATATACAGAATAGCTATTTATGAGTAAAAATAGACGGATAAAAGTAACTCATCGGCGTTGTGTTCATGAGGGCAAAAGTTTTAAAACTTTGGCAACGTATTTTAAAATACACAAACATGCATCTTTTCTAAAAATAATTACAACGTTATCAGTATAATCGTCTTGTATTAAATTAGTTTAATGACAAATTGTTATGTCCCAACAAGAATAATGAATAATAACTTATAAGATCCATTTATGGACCAGTACTAAACGTATATTTCTATTTTGTAATTATTAAGTAAGTAAACTATGCATATTCATATTCCCTTTATTATAAGCTTTATCTTGACCCATAAACTATTATTATACGTTTTACCGTTCTTGAGTTATACCCAGTATATTAATTACTACCTGCCTCATTCACAACCACATCTGGCTAATTCTTGTACAAATGTTGTCTTATATTTTATTGGTACGTTGTGGTCTGTTTGATTGGTATATAGACTCAGTATGTTTGAAATATAATGATTCATATCGCAGAGGCTCGGATTGGTGTTCTGGACTTAACTGGCTAGGCTTGGCAGGAAGCAGGACTAATCAGGACTCTAGGCTGCTCGCACGTGTTTTGCGCGTCCTTGGTTCGATCGGTTATTCACTGCTCTCTAATCGGCGGTCAGAAGTTATAACATAAATATTGAATGATGCTTAAACTACATTTAAACATTGGGATTTTGAATTTCAACGTCAAATGTCTGATGAAAATTGACAGGAATAACGCATCAATCCAATTTTCGATATAATTTTAAGTAACATTATAGCATTTTATAGTACCGAATTCCCTAGTCTCACTCCACCAACGTTTTTAGGTTGGCCGGTTCTATCATTAGTCCTTGCACAAACCGTGTTTCTCAAAACCGAGTAAATAAACCTGTTATTTGGATACAACGGAGCGAATAGTATGAAATTACAACTTTTGGAGCTATGATACGAAGGATTATTATTCATATTTTTGAACTTTCGTTTGACCTAGATATTGTTGTCACGTCTTATCTTTTTAAATTTAACATCAATTGATTATTTCTATATTAACACTGTTCAAGTCATATGTGTATAGTGCGATTTCTTAATTGTGTTGCCTTGTGGTCAGGTATTTCATGTAATATTATTATGAGTTTTGAGTCATGATTGGATTGAATACAATAGAGAATTAATTTACTTTCTATCTTCGTTTTCTGATTGGACATTGGGCTAGACAGAACTCGAAGCCCAGTAAGCGTTAAAGTTTGTTAGTTGTTCATTGATTGATGTGTCCATTGGTAAATAGATCATCGGTCCTACTGTCAGTATTAATAGATTAATCGATACTCAGACTACATATCATACAAATCTGCTCATATAATTATAGTACAACCACATGTACCCTAATAAAATACATGAAAGCTGTTCATCTTTTTTCCTGTCAAACTAATTTGGATTTAGCTACTAGTGAATAAATGCGGTTAGAGAACTGCTTCGGCAGTTTACAAAACTAATTTACAGTTTATCTATTTAATGCACACAGTAAGGCATCAAAAAGAATGTCCCACACCTACAATTCGATAATATTGTAAAGAGAAATAGAAGGATAGGGCAATATAATCAACAAACAAATGAACAAGACTAGGGTCATCTTTCAAATATTGCACCAGAGGTCAGGATTTTGTCTGGGGCTTTCGGTAATATATATCCATATATGCCTAGGTTTGTATAAATGAATGAATGGCTCGGTAGTAAATAATGAGTAGTTTGGGTTAAAAACTTTCATTCAGTTAGCAACATCAGTCAATACTTAGTATAGACAAGTACAAAATTTAGCAATTTAATTTGGCTGGACGACTAAAAATATTTCAACCAATAAGGAAACAGTTTATGAGCAACCAATGAAATAAATGAGACTGCAATAAAAACCAGTTACTCATAAGTAACATAATTGTTATACACAAATGTTACAAGTAGTAATTAACCTAAGGTACAAATCGGTTAAAAATAACCAATCGAAAAAGATTTCTTTAATCATAAACGAATTATCTCACTTTTATGAAAGATTCGATATAAAATCCTAGGAGGGTCACCATTGACTTATATTCTGTGCCATGTCTCATAACGTCTCAAGCCATTGTTGTGCAATTTTTAGGAGACTCCGACCGTAAAGTTGTGAAGAATCGATTGATACCAGGTTTATATAGCTATCTTTCATAGCATGTGGTATGTTACAGACTGACTACCTTTCTGCCTTTTCCATCTGGCCCCAGCATAGACAAATAATGCTCAGGACTATCATTCTCCAAAAGTGACCAATTTTTAAGATAACGACACTCATTGAATTATCATCACTGCACTCAACACACCCGTTCCCAAACGTCAGAGTTACTAACTTCGTATTACCATTGGCCCCAGGTGCTCTTGTACGACCGACGGTGGGGAGGGTTAGCTCTCCCTCTCTAAGTGCTCATATGACCACGCGTATACAGCCGCTGCCAGGGAAATCCTGCTCCCTGCCTTCTCGTGGCGGAAGTGTTGTTTACGAAATTGAGAGGACGGGAAGCGAATGTTTTACTCTTTAACCGGGTCGGTGGATGTAGGGACTCACCTAGGGTAGTTGGACAACCCTGAATCCAAACCAATAGTGCACACGTGCTTCATGATCCTGAGGGCACAAATGGCGTATGGGTCAATTGTTTGTCACCGGCTGTCATAGGACTGCATCTCTTAATGTTGCTCGACTGCCTAGTGGATCAGACCTTTAGGTCAAAGGCTCCGGGCGTTGTCATTTAAGGAAACCACCTGATTCGATCTGGGTACCCGGGCAACTTTATTTGCAGTTTAAGTCGTTTAGTTTAGGGTTAGCTGACTGATTTTATCCCCACCCCATAGGATCGATCTCTCTGTGTGTGACAGAACACAAATTAATTAATGAATGTAATCAAATCTTACCTGCTTCGGCCTGGGCACCTGGGCAGTATCACAGCCCACACACAAATCAAGTGACTTGTTTGACGCATATGTATTCAATGTTCCTTTGTACCAATATTTATGTGTTGAAATAAATAAATGAATATTACCATTGAGTGTGAGCAGTCCTCCAGAGACAATAATGACCGAACATAGTCGCTGGATAACCACATCTCAAAGGAGCAAGTTTTCACAACGCATGATGTGGAACTGCTTTCAACTACTTGTTATAACCCCAACCTTTTACAGCTAGGTTGTAGTCAAGATGGAACGAAATGACGAACCAGAATGGGATAAGCTACTTGAACATTATGTTGATTGGTCTTATTTGCCACAGCACCACCTGGACTCACTTAAGGAATTTATGTTTCTCCATTACATTTTCTACCGGTTTAAATAGTTTAATCATATTTTATTTTTGTTTTCCCATTCACAGATTCACCATATTATCTTACAGTCTTACAAATCCATTAATCTGGTTCATTCAGATCCTACTAGTCGTCAACCAGCTATCAGTAAGGCGAGTTCTCGGGATCACGACACCGAAAACGCACCAGTTTATTGTGAAACTGATAGTTTCCTCGATAATATAAGGGAGGATGTTAATACTAAGATGGCGATAGACCGTTGGTCATTTCCCAATTCATCAAAAACACTAATTCACCGAAAGTCAGAATGGTTTGATTTGATATTGAACAGATTAGGCCGAAATGGTCATCGTATATTGATTAGTTCATCTTCTGATATTATTTATCATAAACATAGTCCCCATCTACTTGATCTTAGTAAACTGCTGTTGTTAAATAATTTACCAACTGAGGAAAACTATGGTTCTTGGCTCAACGATTTCTTTCAAACTGTTAGTCTTCCATCACGTCAGGGTCGCTCGCCTAGTTTGTTAACAAAACCATCGAAGAAGCAACTTTTAAAGGTGAGTAGTACGTACTTGGTATATAAATGTATACTATTAATGAATCTTTAACTCAAAGGTCAAATTACTAGACTTTCAATATTTGTGTCCCATGTTCGAAACACGTTTCGGGGAATTCTCTTTCCTAATAATTGCCATTCATCGGCTGAACATTAATTTTCACGATTAGTCACTCAGTCACAATCAACACAAAAGCTAGCAAAGACATGCGTTGGCTCAAGCTATCATACCGTATTATCGAGAAATAAAATTAACGAGAATCGCAAGAAAGATAGAAATAATGTGATAGTAATGACAGTTGGAAAGATCGACCACTAAGAATATGATATGAAAAGATAGAAGAAAGAAAAGGATGTATATTGCAAATCGAAATTGGGAGGAATGTGAAGATTGGATCGAAATGTGCCATTGTAACCGATTCTGACTCATATTACTTAGCTTTTCCAAATACTAATCTCGCTTATCACACATACCTCGATCACGTTTTCTGTACACGTCAACACGGCTCAGACCCACATTCATTAATTTCATGGACTGACACTGTGTCGTGTTCGCCATCACTAGTTATTTCAGTGACTATAATCCAACTTATCCATACCGTGAGGTGTAATGTTTGTTTGCATCAATGGCTTTCTAAAACAGTGGTTGTATCTATTTAAACTAATAATGCAATCAATCTGTGGGATTGTGTTTAATGACAGTCGGTTGTCGGATGCAATCACTTGCAACCAAACTAGAGTTCATGTCGTTTTATGTAAGTGCGTATTGACAGTCTATTTCAAAAAATAATACAGTTCCATTCAAATAAAGCTTATTTGACACAAAAATTGGTAAGAGCACCACATGAAAGGGAAGAGGGAAGATCATTTACTAATAACAGGAATAGAAATATTAAGGGATAGTTTAAATATAGATTCAAGGTAGATAGATTCAACTTATTTAAAATAGAGATTTTAGATCATGTTCAATCGTGTCTCAACCCAGTAAGTTTTGGAGTCAATAAGATTTCATCCAAAAAATCTCGACAAATCAAGAGACACAAAGAGTACATAATTATCGTGTAGTAAACTGGTCTAGTCTCTGCTGCTATCATCCACTTCTATTGATTGCAAACAGTACTTAGATGACCTGTAAAACGCTTGGCATTAAGTAGATTTATGTCACTGAATTCTATTTTTCAGGTTGATATCACCGGTTAAATAATAGTTGCAGTTATTCCCAAACACACGGTACCAAACCATAGTATGGCTTACAATGTATCGGCACGTAGTGATAATCAAATACACTTAACTGTTTAATAACATTGGTTTAAAATGATCTAAGTTGATTAGGCGAAGTAAAGCATACCCATTACTAGTTATTTTTAATATTTGGTTCAATAAAGCGGTTGTCTAGTGGTTAGGTCGTTTGACTTTCAACTACTTATTTTCGAGTTGAAGTCCCGTTCCACCTATTTCGGCCTGGGTAACCGCCTAGTATCATTCGACCCCATCAATTGTATCAATTTTAATATTAAAACTGGGAAAAGTTTCTGGAAGGATAAACAGTTGACTAGTGTTAACAGGTTAATTTTTTAGTTGGGTAAGTCCAAATAATTCCTCTTGCAGATGTCACTGAATGTCGCTCGCGTTCCTCTCCCACTTTTCTCTTTGTACTACTGAATATAGTTGAATTTTGTTTTTCTCTTATGTTCTTCGACCGATCAGTTTTTAGATCCGTTCGTCATACGTTTCGACGACGAAGACGAATGGGACTCACTTATCAATGATGAAGTTATTGAATGCCGTATGTCCTCTGTACAACAGAAACTTCATGATAAAATATTGAGTACAAAAGCGTAAGTTATTGTTTATTCTATCGTGTTACGTTTTTGTTTTATGATATATCATTATTGTCCGGTTCAGGTAAACTGTTGTGCTGATGATCAGAATAACCTGATTCAACTCATTTACCAGATACAGATTTGTGTACTTGGTCTCGATCCGTAATAAGTATGAGGGCTGATGATACTTCTCTCTTACTGCTATGTTTATAAATTGCTTGGATTTGTATCGACGTAAATTTTATGGTTCAGATTTTTAGATTCAACATATTTTTTAATGTTGTTATTGTACACTCATTTTACTGAGTGTTTACTCAAATAATCAGTTTTTTTTACATTTTGTTTTACAGTGCTGAGAATGCTCTGAAAACTGGAAATCTATTAGATCTCTTACAAACAGTTTCAGTTGCTGTGCGTGCTTGCAATCATCCTTCTTTAGCTGGAACTCATCCAAGATCCTCACGAATGTTTAGACATACATTGGATAATTTACAAGCTGGGGTTCATGCTGTACATGGTCCGTATGTATTCAAATCTCTACAAAAGATATGCGATTCAAATAATCACTACTATTCCAATTGTGGTCTTATGTTTAGCACTCCAGAGTCAGTTTTGTTGGGTGTTAAATTACTTCGACATGCTGAATTATCTGACATAACTTCCCAATTCTTCAATTTGTTCGAAGCTCTCAAACCATCTGCTTATATCCGCAGTCGTATCGCCAATCTTACGCCTCAATTCAGCCAGTTATTATCACCACCAATTAATCATCAAATGTTGAGTAATAACAGAAATGTCACTATTTCGGAAATTGTTTCAAACTCAGTGGATTTTTTGCCAGAATCTCATATTCCAAATGGAAATCTGGAAAGTAATTACTTCAAGCAGGGAAATCAGTTAACAAATGGTTTTCCTCAGTCTCAACATTTGAACTCTAAAAACTGTGTTGATCCAGACATTGAAATTGTAAGTATACCTCAGAGACAGAAACGACAAAGAAGTTCCGTTGTCGATCAGAATTCAGTTTATTCCAAACGACGTCGAGTGGAAGAGTACGGTTCTCGTCTTCCTTTTCTTGATTGCACTGATATAGGATCTACTAGTTATCATAAGAGCTCCGACTGGTCGTCGAGTCACTTGAGTCTTAGTAGTGACCCATATATGGCCCATTCTGATCAGTTTAGAAGTACAACAAGTAAGTTACTTGCTGGTTACTTTTTGTTTCGTTATTTCTATTGTCATGTATGCTTTAACGAAGTTGTTATGTCCATGACGTTCACATACCGTTGCTAGTCTTGAACACTTTTTTGATGATTCGCTTCAAAGTTGGTCCCAATGGTATGCTAACACCTTCTTTGTTTATCCTCCTCTATATTTTTAGTATTTTATTCCTTTATACCTTTTTTAAATTTGTCTTTTTCTCAGACTTGTAGTCATTTTAAACCTTGACTACATCTAAAAACAATTATAACTAGGTTAGTATATAAGATCATATGACACACTGTAACACCTAGTAATTATGTTTGACTGTTCAAATCTCGGGAGATAATGTGTGTTCTGAATCCATAAGGGACAATTTAAACTACTTTAATGGGCCTGTATTTCACTCCAATTAGGTTGTATGATGATTGTTATCGAAATATACGTGTCGCCAACCCTCATGTATAATTATCGACTTAATTTACGTTAGGCATTAACGGAATAAAATAAACCAAATACGAGAATGCATTTTGAATCCATATATTTTGAACATCATTGATCCAGAGAGAATCAGAGAATCTAGGTGAATAAAGCAAAGCTAGGAAAACAAAACGAAGTGACGCGTAGAGTAGAAGGCGAATGAGCGAACCCGTTTCGATTAAGCGTTACTCGATATCTATATTCAAACAAGAATAAGTTACAGGCAGACAAGTGATGAATAGGGCAAGCATTTGACACATATACGACCATATAAAAGCCGTCAGAGTTAATAGGCGAATAATTGACAAGTTGAAAATGTAGTCTGAGAAGAGTGAATAAATTAGTCTGTCCAGAAGCTAGAATAGCCTGTGAATTTGATATAGTACCAGCCACTACACCACTACTAAGGCGTGTCGACCAAACTGAGTTAGATTGTCAAATTTTTCTTTTGATTGAGATAATGGGTCAATCAGTGTTAAACTACTGTTGAAAACCTTGAAGCACTGAACGGTCGTTTCATCCTAGTACGGGACTCCTCAGCAGTGCTCATCCTCAATCACTCACAGGGGATTCAAACCCAGGACCTTCGATCTCGTGCGCTTAACCTCTAAACCACTGAGACGGCATCCAACGGTGTTAATGTTTAACATCAATTGATTCATGACATTACGCGACCATCCTACCATTATATTTAGTGGGTAACTGCCTCACGCTCGACAGGGATTAGCTCCACCGATCACAGCTTCTTCCTAAAACTCCGAGAATTACCTCTTGAATCTAGTCTATTTTCTGTAAATTATTTCATGTAATCCAAATTAATTCATGTAAAAAGACAGTTTGTATATTTTCATTTTGTATAAAGGTTATGCAATCTTCTAGAAAAATTAATGTACTTTCTAGACTAATCTTATGATACTTCTCGTGTTATGTAAATTTTATTATTTTATTTTATTTGAACACATAAATATTGGTACAAGAGGGCACCAAATACATCTGCACCACACAAAACAATGAGAATTTGAAGAGAAGAAGGAAAAAAAGTAAGGAGCGTAAAAAAAGAACAATAACGTACAGATTAGTGTAAGGTAGTGTAATAATAATAATAATGAGGGAAACGAAAAGGTACAATCAGAAGAAATCTTTCAGTTAAGGGAGAAGCAACCACTTTTTATGAAGAAAGTAAAAGAAGGTTACAGCAGGATCGCCATTGGCTTCTATTCTGAGCCATATCTGATAACGTCTCTAGCCACTGTGTCGCACCATCTCTCGGATCCCAGCTAGGGAGTCGTGAAGGACCAACAGAAGCCAGCCCTTTGCAGCTTTCTTTCATACCACGACACCATGTCATACACTGACCACTTCTCCGCTTCTTCCAACCAATCTTAACGTCGGCAAATAATTCACGACGTTGAACGTGTTATATAAAGAAGTTTTGTGATTTAGTAAATACACAGAATTACATTTAGATGTTTGTATATTTACGTACATTGTTCATGAAAAGATTTAGTTCATAGTTAACATACTTGTTTATCCATTTATTTCTTTAAAGATAAACATATTTTAGCTTTGTTCGTATTTTATGAAACCCTTTTTTGTCTACAACATATTTTAAATATCGTTTTGTAAGTTTTTCCATTTAAGAATTTCTTGTATCTATGGATTAATTTGTTGTAGCTACCTTTCTTTTTGAAAAAAAAGAGGAAATTTAAGATGACAGATTATGGCTTCGTGGGGAAAACTACATTTAAGTATATTTTCATTTTATACCGTGACATTTCATTATATATATCTATATATGTATATGTATATATTTCAGATATGTCTAATAATCTCTCTCATACTGTCAATCATAACAATTCCTACAACTCAAATGATCATTTAAACAATAATAATAATAACACCAATAGTGATAATCATTTAAATGTAAGTTTATTTTATCATTTTTAGTATGATTTTGTGTTCAATACTTTCTAGTTGTATCTATGCATGTTAGTTTGTACGGCATATACACGTGAAGTAAACTAACATTGACATTAGTTTTGTCCAATTTTTGGTTGATGTTTTCACAGGTAGGAAAAAATACCAATATATTGATTTTCGGATAAATTACTTCATAACAAAATTTCTCCATTCCTTAATTTCTCTTCTTCTCAGTTTAATAATAACAATCTATGTATCGAATATGGATCTTCTTCATTTTACTTATAGCATGTGGGTATAGAAATATTATGAACTCCGTGTTATCTTACAGTTTAATACTTGTTTCTTCTTTTTAAAATATTCATTCTTTGCTAATTTTGTTTTGGTTTTTACTTTGTTTACCTAAAATGCACCACTACTAAATCATATGACCAATGTTTGTTTAGTAATGGGACTCATTTTGTCAACAGTGTTTATAACGTCAAAACCTGTTTATATGAATGGGTATAAAGCGGTAGCTTAGTGGTTAAGACATTTGATTTTCAGCCGTTATTTTAAAATACCGGCTTTGTCACCTTGGAAATGTTTTAAAAATGTCATCTCAAAGTCTCACACATCAAGTATTAATTTCCAAAGTTGAGACTGGATGGAAAAGGTGCAGAGGTGCTCATTTTGTGACATTGTGTTGTTGTGGTAAGAAAGAGAGCTGTATACGACTGGAACCTATCATCACACCTCAATTCCCTGGTTTGAGTTCTAAAAGTGTTACAACTCAGTGGCTTAGTATTTTAATTTAAGTGACTCGAAATAAAAACCAGTGGTGACCCCTCAGTAATTTGCTACTATTTCCTTTAAAAAGGGGAGAAAACTCCATTAACCGAATAAAGTTATTATTGATTGTATTTTTAAGTGAGATTTACATCCTACTACATAGTATTCTTGTAATTTTTATTGTTATCAACTCTCTTCATCGATTTACAATGTCACTGTTTATTCTGTATAATGATGATCACATATTAAGGTTCCATTTGTCCCGCAATACTTGCGAATTGATGAACAGTTAAACTATCCCAATACGAATTATTCTATTCTGGACTCGATAATAGCAACTGGTACACGACACGTCAACAAATGACTGGCAAGACAAAATAGCGAAGTGTAGAAATAACTTAATACTCAGTCAGAACAATTTGACATAGTACAACTCTGTATGTGTAGTGACAGGAACATGATCATTCATCAAACAAAAAGTTAACGAACTAAAGGTAATGGCAACTAATCAGAATTAAGCTAAGGTCGTACGAAGAAAATTGATTGCGAAAAACACTAGCGGTTGCTGTTACTAGTAAGACTTTGACATTAACAAAAACCGGGTAATCCTGTCTTGGCAGTCGCCTATACAATTTTGATTTCCGATTGTTCCGGATTTTATGTGAATAAATGAGTAAAATAAGACAGTTTACCGCTTTATGCACTGGTTTATCTATCTGTGTATCATTATTATTATCGTCATCCTTAAACGTAGCAGTGTTCAACTTGATAACTTGCCCTATGGTGAAGTAAGAGACATTAAGACATTATTACTTATTTAATTATTGTGTTGTTAATTTTCTAGGAGAATGCATATCCTTGGCTAATAGATAATCATCGTAAATGTACTCAGTTAATTGATTTTGCTGATTGGTGTTCCCAGGATACATGTGATCTTCTACGCTTAGATTTATTATCTGATAATACTACTTCAGATTTCAATGCTTATTCGAAAAATTCACAATTTAAGTCTTACAGTGTTTACTCTTATAAGAAAGAATCCGATATATGGAATATTGTTTTAAATCAATTTTCACAATGGAATAATTTTACGAGGTAACATTTTACTAATTTTGTTATACTCATCATGTATTTGTATGTGTATATTAGGTTAGAAGATTGAATTAGTCAAGTTTATAAAGAACTTACAACTTACGTTTAAATCATAACATATCTCCCTTTCATATTCTTTATTTATTACTACCATTTTGTGGTTCGTCAATCTGACTCCGCGAATTAGATCATATGATGATGGTAACAAAATATACATCTCGGTCACCCTCGTACATAATTATCAACATAATTTGCTTTAGAGAATAACGGAATAAGATAAGTCAAATACGAGGATGAATTTTGAATATGTCCATTTCGTAAACTCGTTGATCTGGATGGATAATCAGAGAAACGATGCGGAGAAGGCCAGTGAACCAACTCGATTTGATCAAGCGTGACTCAATATTTATAACCAAAAATAAGCAACAAATATATGACGAGTAGGCTAAACAGTGCATATATATATATATATATATATATATATATATATATATATATATATATATAAAAGTCAATATTAATCAACGAATAATTAACAACATCAAAATGTAACTCAAAAAGAATGGATAAGCTGGATTGTCTAGAAGCTAGAATAACCCATGTGAGCTTGGCATAGCACCAGACACTACACCATCAGCATTGGCTTTTAGGAGGTAATATTTTTGATTTTGGAAGATTTTCAATACTGCTATGATAGTTCATTCCGATAGTTTACATAATTGAGTTCTTTGTTTTTTATTGTTTACTTGGATGTCTGTAGTCATTCAAGTAAGGAGATGGATGAGTGGATAGAAAACCTTTAATCTATGCTTTTATTGTACATTTGTCAAGGTGGAGTGCTAACTAGTAAACTTTTCAGCAATATAACTAGTTCATTAACATTGTTAATAAATAGCGATTTTCGACTAACAATAAACGTTTAATTTGTTTATTAAATCACCATTCTATTCACATTTGAAGTTACGCTTCCATAATAGATGTATTTCGATAGGTTTTTTAAATCAGAGTATGGAATTATTCATTCTCAGTATTTTAACTCAGTTTTGTTTTGTGATATATACATGTATATATTCGTAGAAGTAACACTGTTCTACTAAATCATTAATCGGTTGATTTAACACAAATCCTTTTTTATTTCATTTCAGTGCACTGTGTACGCGACCGCGTGTGATTGCCTCGCCTGCCCGACTAATATCTCGTGCAGGACCTATTAATCCTTTGCTATTGTTTGACAAAAAGAAAACAACTTCATTATTGTCCAATCTATATTGTCCACAATCATCTTGGTCATTTTCTATGTATTCATCAATTTTGCGTATAAGTCATACTTTCTATCCTCTAACAGAACAAGCACGTTGGTTGACACCTTCATGCTGTTCAAAGATTGGATTTCATTCCTCATTGTTGTCGTCATTTAGCGGCAACTCTAAATCATCTATCAGTCAGTTGTTACTAGAATCAGGTAAATACATGTATAATCACTGTGATATTATGTAACTATTACGTTACGCAGCTACTCGATGAGTTCTTACATTAAATGTGGAAATGGAAATTTTCACTATACTGAAATATATATGAATCCGTGCTGTGTTTATGCACTATTATAGTTAAACTGTGGTTTCATTGTATTGTTCAATAGGAAAGATTCGTTGATAGAAGTGAACAAATTTCATCCATACGATTACTGTTGCAGTTAGGCGGATTAGTATTCATTTAATTTCTAACTACGGGAAAATTCGTTACAAGTAAATAGCAAACGCTGTTTAGACGTGACTGCAACTCATACATATATTAGGAGATTCTGATACGTAATGCACAAAGCTTTGGAATGATGCAGAAAATACTCTTATATCACATAAACCAAATCAGCAAACACATATAATAAACTATGCTTTTTATGTAATGGTTGCTGATTATCAGCCAACTTCCCTAACTGTTGTAGTACCTAGTGCGAATTTAAAATCTGTCCTTCAAACGGTTGAAAATCTAGTGCTTAAGCTAATAACTCAAATTTTAGACTGGTATTAAATGCTAAAATACAATACACTGTCAGTAATGTAACTGGGAAACGATCACGCTGTTGTATTGAACTCTTCAACTGACCGACCGAATAATTAGAACATGTTGTAAAAGTGACGCATATGATGATATTAAACTTGTTTACAAGGTAAGCGGTTCAAGTTTAGTACAGGTATTGCGATTAGTCATTTTTGAACATTTTTAAGTAGTTGTGTATTTATTCGGTAATAAGATCTTAAATCAATAGTTTGACAATATATATTGCTCTGTCTAGTATGTTGAAATTTATACACAAATATGTTAATTGCATGCAAATGATTTAGCATATAGTTATGCAACAACACTGAAGCACACAATAGAAAAGAATGGAAAACTGTTGTTTATATGAAAACCGTAACTGTTTAAAAAGAATCTAAATATGTAATACAACACTTCTTTGTACATAACTTACAGCATGACTTTAGGAGAACTTGTGACAATTTAACACAGTTACCTGGATAAAATAAAATGATGCACTGTCAGCCAACTAAAATTCGGTTGATCTAACTGTATATCACGATGACATCTTGGTAGGTTTAATAAACTCTATCGCAACGCATTAATTTTATCCTTTCAACCAATTTGCCACTAGAGATTGGTAATAAAAGAAACTTGTCTTATGCTTTCACGGTCATGTACTGGTCAGTGTGTGTTTTTAGGGGGGAAACAGTTACAAATAATCATAACTGCCTTTTTTCAATCGGTTACCATTTGGTCGTCATAGATTTAATTTTTCATTAACCTGACACACATAGACGTGCAAGTGTGTGTCCGTGCTATATTATTAAACCGCATATATAATAGATGCAACTCAGGAACAGTGAATATGCTTGTCGACCTGATGTGAGATCTGTATGTGTGTTTGCGCAAATTCTAAACGTTTTTCCTTCATAATTCTTCATATGTACCGAATCCATAATCGTTTACTTCGTCATTGTAATTGTTCTGTTCTCTTCTTGTTTCAGGTAAATTTTATAATTTACATCAGAAATTGACCAAATTGCTTGGTGTAAAGTCTAATAGTACTAATACTACTACTAATAGTAATAATAATCTTGAAAAACGTCCACGTTGTATATATTTCATAGCGCATCAAACAGCTTTCCTCGATTTATTGGAAGCTTATTTATCAGCATCATCTTGGCGTTTATTTCATCGTGTACGTATTCCATCAAATTATAAATCAGTTAATGCTAATACATGGTCACTAATTGATTGTATCAATAGTTGGCCTCAAGGTACAATTGGTCCACTACTAGTACTAATACATGCACGAAGTCCAACTACATCATTAATTAGTTTACGAGCTGATTCAAATGTACACATTATCATATGTGATGTTGATTGGCGAGTAGAAGTTACAGATAATTTGAAAGCCATGTAAGTATGTTTGAAATCCACTTTTTTAGTTTACCAGGTTTTTTATCCACTTGTTAAGATATTCATAGCTCTCTAGTATTTATTCATAGACATGTGCCTTTGGAGGTTCGCTGATGTGCTTTCAGACTATGAGGTTAACACTGTTGAGTTCAAACTCAGAGTAATAAATAAAAATAGTCAGTCAGCTGGCAAAGGACTGAACCTTCATTGACATGAGTGGTTGGGACATGCACCGTGTATGCTCAACCACCGTCTACCTCTCTGCACGATTTTAGCTGGTGTAGGGATGAATTGTAAGGAAGCTAAGGATGGTCTAACTAAAGTTCGGCATTATTCCATGAAATTATCTTCCGTTGTACTAAGTTGTATAGGTAGGTGCAGATTACGTAGCGGGAGTTCACGTGATTATCGTAATTGACAGTCGAAGATGTCTGGTGAACCGTTCGCAGTGGTGCAGATTGGTTCACTTTTTGTCTTCCCGTAGATCTTGAGTGGTAATATAATCGTATGCATTTTATTCTGCGAACTCGGTCTTCTTAAGAGCATATTTTCTGCACTTAATGCTTTATACTACTATTAACGCTGTTACTACTGCCATTCTGATATTTGCCTCGATAATTTTATCTTTCTCTGTTGATCTAGTCTAACAACTTGAACCGATCTCATCTGTGCAACATATACGACTGACTGAGTAACTAAGAATTGCTAGCAGCTGTTTACCAGTTAGTCTGAAACTGTATTTGACTAAAAGTTTCAATTTAAATGGTTTAAGCATTTAAATCCAGCCATTTAAAATTTGAGTAGTTGGACATCATACAATAATTGTGATTTATTTCTGTGGGGTTCTTTAGTGAAGTGTATTTTCATTTAGTTCATTATATAGCTATAATTTCGACGTCCATCTTCATTGGTGGGTTTAGGCTGATATATATAACCTTTTACCACACTTGACACCAAATGCTTTTTCGTCCCGAAAATTCTATCCAAAGGCATCATTTCAGAACTATCAACTGGGGCAGAATTTCAAGTTCTGCCTTATAATGTCACGTTTTGTGAATAACTCTCCCTCGAAGCCTCACACCAAATAATTGTGTGCATCCCTACAGAATTTCCGTTGTCATTATTACTAATAGTATCAGCAGTAGACCTGTTCAGTGTTTATTTATTTGATTTATCTCTCAAACGTTCGAAATATATATCAAATCCGATTTACTGATGACGGCATATCTAGTGTACCTTTCAGTTATCTTGTTCGGTTCGTAACTATTCCACATCCTTTGTGAATATGTAAATGAATTATGTCACAAAACTATGAAATTACATTTGATCGACATCAATTAGACAGCTATGAAAGACCAATAAGCACTGGATGACTATTTCGCCCTGGTAGTGACCCTTCACCACTCGCTGTCCTAGCAGAGATCAAACTCATGATTTACATATCTCACGACAAGCGCTTAATCTTTAGATCATATAACATGTTTAACTTCGATTGCCTTACAACATTGTGAGGGCATTAATCAGTAACTAATATACACTCGAAATGGCTGAACTCCACCACTTCTAGCTTCTCTCATTAAAACTTCTGGAATGATCTCTCAAAATTAGTCACTGGTACGGTCAAGGGTAGATAGAGTTAGCTTTCCCTCTCTAAGTGCTCTCATATGGTCACGCGTATACAGCCGCTGCCAGGGGAATCCTACTCACTGCTTCTCGTGGCGGGAGTGTTTAAGAAATTGGGAGGACAAAAAGCGAATGTCCTACTCTTTAACCGGGTCGGTTGATGTAGGGACTCACCTAGGGTAGTTGGAAAACCCTGGATCCAAACCAATAGTGCACACGTGCTCCATGATCTTGAGGGCACAAATGGCGTATGGGTCAATTGTTTGTCACCGGCTACCATAGGACTGAATCTCCTGATGTTGCTCGATTGCCTTGTGAATCAGACCTTTAGATCAAAGGCTCTGGGCGTTGTCATTTAAGGAAACCACCTGATTCGATCTAGGCACCCGGACAGTATCACAGCCCACACGCAAATCAAGTGACTTGTTTGACGCATATGTATTCAGTGATCCTTTGTACCAATATGTGTTCAATTAAATAAATAACTTATTTATATAATCAGTTTGTAAAGATATTTGAATGTCATAGTTTACACCAATGATTAATTTTGAGTTTTTAAGATGAATTTCAATTAGACATATTCTCTTAATGAAACATTTTTAATGAGTCTTTAATTATTTTCATTTATAGTATTCATAGTTGGATATTGAATGGTTTGTCATTTTATCCTTCACCTTCTTCGTCGTTATCATCTATTTGTTTCAACAATGATAAAAAACAAAAAATCAATATTTCTCGTTTATTATCAACTAATGATAATAATTATTCTACACATCGTATTAGTGTAGAAGCATGTCTATTACGTGGTGTAGCATGTCGTCTATTACCTAGAGCTGTATTTCATGCACATTCAACAACACATGTTAATTGTCGTTCATTATTATTTGCAAGAGTTCAACCAAATGTTGTCAATGAATTATTATCTGGTATAATACAAATAAAAAAATTATCAAATCGTCAATTATTTATCCAACAAAAAATTAAATCAAATGAATATGAACATTTAGATTTATTTAGTGATCGTAATTTTTTTGGATCTATTCATAAACATGATACATTATCACATTCATCAACATCATCTATTGCTTCATCATTTTCATATATTGGACAAGAAAATCGTTTAAATGAATCATTAATTAATAATGAAAAAATAATTAATGAAGATGATGATATATTATTATTTCATGAAAGAGAACCATTAAGTGAACTTTTAGTAAGTAGTTGAATAAATTTATTTCTGTTAATATTATTATTGTTATTATCATTATCAATGGTAATAATAATAATAATAATAATAATAATAATAATAATTGGTAATATGGGGAGTCCTTTGGTGGGTTATAATCTCTGTCGGTTGCAACAGTTATCTACTACTGTTAATGGATGAAGGGTTACGCAAGGTTGTGGATTGATTGTGGATGCCGCCTCAGTAGTTTAGAGGTTAAGAGTTCGCGTGTGAAACAGCGGACCCTAGGTTCAAGTCCAGTGTGTGGGATCGTTGATGCTTACTGCTGAACAGTCACATACTAGAATGGAACGGCCGTCCAGTGGTTCTTGGCTTTTCATAGTAGTCTATCTTAAATTGACCATTAAATTAATAAAATCCCTACAAACTCCCATTCTGATAATAATCACCATGTACCCGCTAGTGACTGATTTCAAGATGTATTTCCTGGAGTTCTAGTGAGTAGCCGTGATCGGTGGAGTCCATTCTGTGTCGAGTGTAAGGCAGTTACCCACTGAAGATAATGGTAGGTGGTCATGTAATACCATGAATCGATTGATTTTATACACTAACACCGTTGAATACCGGCTCAATGGCCTAGGGGTTGTATTCGCGCACGAAACTGGAGGTCTTAGGTCGGAGTCCCGCGTGTGGGGTCTTGGGTGCGTACTGCTGAGTATTTTCATACTAGGACGAAACGACTGTCTATTGCTTCCAGGTTTTCAATGGTGGTCTAAGGTTGATCGATTCATGAATTCAACTACTAAAATAGTGTAATTAGCGTAATAAGTAAATGAACTATAGTGCTTTCGAATACAATAGTTTTATAATATGAAATAATATCAAACTTTACCAGTAGTGATAATGTCATCCTACCAGTCACTGGAATTCAATCATAAGTGATAATACAAACGTGGCTACATTGGCCGAATTTCTTTTTGAATGTCAATTAAATCTTACTTCAATTATTGAGTACACTGAAGAGTAATCTGTCGACTTTGCCACTGGATGACAACCAAAATACCACCGTGATCGATTACTTAAGGTAGTATTTTAGTGTTTGTACATCTCAGTAGTGATCTTGTACCAAAGTGTAGTTCAGCTTGCTTTGTCTAAAGACCTTTCGATTTTTTGGACAAAATGTATTAAAAAGCCGTAACCATCTCGAAATTTATATTTAGGTCTCAAACAGTTAAATTCCTTGTTTAAGTCTATCATATTTGAGCTTTTGATTGTTTTATTTTTCTCCAATTAATGCATTTGATTGAAGCTTCATCAAGCATTGGAACTTTTTGAAGACCCAATCGATACACAAGCATGGTGTTGTACAAATGCTGAAGAATTAGCCATTGTCAATGAATTTGTTTCTCAAGATGATGATAATGTAACAGATGATTTTCATTATTTGATCGGTGATGGTGAAGCTGACTTAGAAGATGATTTGAATTATAAAATTTCTGATGAATTGGATACAAATTTTGTACAGTTATCAGATTACAATGAACGGAAATCTTATCCAGATTGTCTAATGAAACAGTTAGGTTACACCGATTTAATTAGTTGGGAAGTTGCTAATTATGAATTATTATCTCGTATATCACTACTTGAAAATCAATTAGACAGTGAATCGAATCATGATTGGTTAAGTTATCATAATCATCCTTCTCCTGTTAATCATAATGATGACAATTCTCTAGTTGATCGAAATGAACAACAGCACTCACAACATATTAAATCATCTGCTCCCAATGTAATATCTTCTTACTCTCAACTTCCAGTGAGTTCGACTTATTATAAACTTTTATGCTATAAATTGTTCCAAGAACACTTTTTCGAGAAAGGATATCTAAGTTATCTCATCTTATAATGTAGAAAAGCTTATAGATATTCGACTATATTATGTCTCCGACAAATTGTTGCAGATAATAGTAAATCTGTGGAGTGAATAAACAATTTTGGGGCTAGAGGTCCTTTGTATAAGATGTGTATACCAATTATTGATTGTTGTTGTTATGGATGCAGAATAATATACCAATCATGATCATGTTAAGTCTAATGATGTCCTTGGACCTTAAATAGACATTCCCTATTGGCCATTATTTATTTCACTCGTTAAATATTGTACAGATGTTGTTTTCTATTTTTATGGTACGATGTGGTCTGTTCGGTTGGTATATTCCTCAGCATACCTAACAGTTGTGAAACTGCATCATTGTACAGGTTCAGTAACACGTTGTTCAGAATGCGACACTGTGTGATCAATGATTTGAAATTTCATTTCACAGTCATTTTTATTCAGAAAAGGTTTTAGTTTAACCATTTAATAAATGCTCTTAAATGTGTTCCTTGAAGGTGTGGTAAATTTTAGAAAGATCTTGATTATGCGATTAATCGGGATGAAGTTATCAGTAGCACTATATCTTCAGCTTATCGTATTTTAAAGAATTGTGCCTAGTTATTGATCAACTTGATTTCTTGTTGTTGTTGTTTTGCACACAATAAAACTGAATGTAATTAATGAATAAAAGTATTTCTAAAGGTCGATATCTTGTGACGTTTGTGCATCATATGTTTTTGTATGCGTATAATAGACAGATATACCTTTTAAATGGTGTTATGTATATTAGGTAACGTACCTACTTTTATGTAACTGTAATGCAACAGGGACTGTCTGTCAATTGCATATTAGTTTATGATCTCTCACAGTTTCGAATTTAAAAAATGAGAATTCCGTTTTGAAGGCATATTTAAAATCTAACCGTCTTCATAGTGTTACTTTAATTTATGACTACGGATTCAGAAAGCTAATTCGGCTTTTGGCGACTTATGTCACTTGTGATGTAGGCGAGATATTTATCTCACAACCAAGTTGCGAGTTTATTGTGAAATAGTTCGTTCTGTTCTACTTTATGACTGAAATACTTTTTAAAGTGGTGGATATTCGTAGGTTACTACTTTTTACTCATAGGTGCCTTTGAAGCTTCGCTCGTGTATTTTGGGACAAGCGAGTTAGCAATGTTGAGGTTAGAAACAGGGTTCTGTGTAAAGATGGCTAATCGATTGATATGATAATCAGTCTTTGTTGACTGAGATGACCGGGACCTATATTACTTATGCTCAACCGCTGTATACCTCACTATGCGATGTTTACTGGTGTAGGAGTAGGTTGAGAAGAATTCAGAAGTGATCAAACCTGAGCGTCGGATTAATCTGTAAATTAAACTGTTGAAATGAACCGTGTAATTTATTTCAGACTACCTGGATGGAGTTCGCGTAATTGTCCTAACCAGGGATTAAAGACTGTGTGATACGGTTCGGAATCGGTTGCGCTAGCACAGATGCATTCTACGTTTTGTCTGAAAATACTCATACCATTTGTTTGTTCTTATTAAACCATGTTGTTTATGACTGATTGTGTTTACTAGTACTGACATTTCTACCTCTTATACTGTTCTGATATCGTAATAATTTTATCTCACTTTAATTGATCTCTTGTTGGAACTTGACTCGATGCAAATGTGTTTCAAATTCTACATTGCATGTGACTAACAGACTACTATTTATAATATGAAATTTGCGGATGATTCATTTGTATTCGAAATATACCACTGTAATTTTCTAAGTTTATTTCTTCAAATTTATAATGATTTATAAAAAGGTATAAATGACGAGATGGCAAGATCTTTTCTCATATTGTTATCATTATTATAATAAATAATTTATTTATTATTTAACACATAAATATTGGTACAAGGAGGTACCAAATACATATGCACCACACAGATCTCATTTGATGTGTGTGAGGGCTGTGATACTGCCCGGGTGCCCAAACCGAAGCAGGTGGTTTTCTTAGGGGGCCACTCCCCGAGCCTTCGACCTGAAGGTCTGATCCACAAGGCAGTAGAGCATCGTAAGGAGATGCAGTCCCATGGAAGCCGGTGACCAACAATTGGTTCATACGCCATTTGTTCCCGCAGGATACTGGAGCCCATGTGCACCATTGGTTTGGGATCCGGTTAAAGCACCGGACATTCGCTTTTCGTCCTCACATTTTCGTAAACAACACCCGCGCCACGAGAATCAGTGAGTAGGACTTCCCTGGCAGAGGCTATATACGCGTGACCATGTGAGGGCATTTCGAGAGGGAGGGCGGACTCTCCCCACTCTCTGCCATACCAGGGCATTTGGGGGCATGATAAATAATAAAAAATATTTTACACTTTATCATTCAAACGTTTTTAATAAATCTGATAATTATTGCATACCATCATTTTTCTAGATTTGGTGTCCTTTTGAATCATATCTAAAAAATTTACATTCAACATCGGATACTAATGATTCAATGATAATGGTTGCTAAAGATGAATCTAATCATCTTTTAACATCTAATGAAGATTATTATTTATATTCAAATGATGATTGGGCTTCAGATAGTGTTGGATTTAATTTCGGTTATGAAAGTGTTCCAATGACTGAAAGTGAACTACCTCCTTTGATTATACCAACACCATCTCCGGTTATTCAAAACAACAATATTAGTATTAATAATAATATTGTTGATAGAAAGACAGGAAGACGTCGTCCTATTATGAATCATTCGTCTTTATCATCATTATCTTCTAGACCATTAAATGATAATATTAACAATAGTATTGGTCATGTTACATCATCATCAACTCATCGTAATGGGTCTCGATTGAATAACAGAAATCTTAAAAGACGAGCATTAACTAGTCCAACAAATTCACTTCCTCGTAAAAACAATTCATCATCAACTGCTTCTTACTATAATACCTTTGATGAATCATCAACTACACATATTACAACAAATACGGGTTCAAATTTAGGTAAGTGTAAGTATTATGTAATTAGTAGAGACAATTCACATTGTGTATGCAATTAATCAGTAATTAAGGTATATATTGAGGATAAGGAAACATTTAGATTACCATACAAAACAATTTGTTATGTCAAGTTTTAATTCATGCTAATTTTTATTCTAGTCATATGTTTCCGAAGTCTTACATTTTTAATGACTGATTATTGCGTTAAACCACATTAGTTAGTGTATGGTTTTTAAAGTTCAACAATCGTTTTCTTATCAAAGAACAGTAGACAATTTTTAGTTTCTTCATACTTTTGATTTAGAAATTTGTGAATGACTTCATTGATTTTCATTATGTTGATTAACATTGAAATCATAATTTTATAATAATTGATAATAGTATACCATTACTATTTTAGTGTTCAGATTAAATTTTACGCATTGAGGCTTAGAGATGTAACTGACACATCAATAATGGATCTTGTTATTTATTTGAACACATAAACATTGGTACAATGGGGGGCATCAAATATATATGTGCCATACAATAAAAATGAGGCCAGTAGTAGTTACTATTGATTTGTATGTGGGATGAGATACTTTCATGGTACTCAAACCGAAGCAGATGGGTTTTTTAGGGGCTACCCCCGGGCCTTTGATCTAAAGGTCTAATCCACAAGGCAATGGAGCAACGTCAGGAGATGCAGTTTCATGGTAGCCTGTGACTAATAATTGGTGTTGGTTGTATAGGAATTTCTAAATCTATTCAGGTCCATCGGAACAGTGTGACACCTGAAATTATCAGTAACTATCTTAGAGAAAGAGCAAGATAGCTGTGAATATGAAGATTTGAATCACTTGAGATAATCTGTTATAAAATGTATTGTCTAATCGTAAAAGAAAATAATCATATTTTCTACTTTATATATATATCACCCATTTTTAGCTTTTAATGTGATTTGCTTATATTTAACTCATTGTGCATCCTATGAATTGTAATTTGTTTTATATGATTAGTGTGTTTTACCCAAATAACCTTTTAGTCACCTTCATACATGAACAAAGTTTCTTTTGTTTTTAGCTTCTATAGAAAATGAAGCTCGAAGTCAAGATGGTCGAATGATTGGTCTACAACAATCACATACACGCGACCTTTCGTCTACCGGAGTCACTATTTCATCAACATGTTCCACTGGAAATAATACAGTATCTCTTTCTCCTATTTCATCCAGTACAAATATATATACAAATAATTCAATTGTTCTATCATTACATTCTTCTATAGGTAATGTTAGTGGAAATTCGGCTACTTTGAAACTACATATCCCACGGGCATCTTATAATAAAGCAGTTACTAATGCTCGTATTCATCGACTTCGTCGTATAAATAACACAAATATCGGATCAAGTTCAGATGTTGCTACGGTTGCAGCAGTAGCTTCTTTAGCCGCTGGTGCCCACTTACTTCAACAGCAACAGCATGTGAATACTGTATCCAGTGGATATTCTGATCATAATCATCAACATTTATCAAATACTGTTATGGCAGCAGCTGCCTTCAATAGTTCATGGAATTCAGTCTTGACTAATCCATCTATTCTAGCTCGTTATGGATATACACATCATGTTGGATCAGTAAATAATTTACCTGGACGACATATTTCATCACTTCAAAATTATATGGTATATATCATATGTAAATTTTGTGTTTTATAAAACTATTTATTGCATTATCTATGTGTTATGTATAAGTTTCAAGTCCACTGGTGATAATCTCCTCTAGAACCGTAAGATTTCAATTGCATTTCTGATTAAAATTAAACATGAAACCAATAACTGAATTGATTCGATTCATCCCGCTAACGAGTCCCAAGTGGGAAGAAACGCGCGTCCTGAATTCCACTGTTAACCACCATCCGTATTTGCTTATAATGAATTGACTTACTTGTTTAGAGTTTGATATTTCATTCATTATTCTGTCAAAGATATTAAGTATTGTTTATTTCATCAATAAGTGCTTAATGTTACTAATCGTTTTGTTGTATACAATTTTTAAATTAGCTTATCACTTACGGGTAATTGAAATTGTAATGGTCAGCTATAGTCTATTTTTATAACATAACTTTCTAAGAATACAGGTATAATTGATTAAAAGAAAAGAGGGATTGAAATGATTTAGAAGATTTCTTTTTAGCTTAGATTGCATACTTTTGGGTTGTGTTCTCTAAGTATAGTCAACAAAACACGGGTGGGGACAATCGAATGTATTTAACACAAAATTACAGGACTTGTTAATAAAATCTAACAATCATAAAGTAAATGCTTAATTTGCAAAATGTCCACCAATTTTCTCAAAATGACTCAGACTTCATTGTTCTTGTATTTTCATACAAATTGCATTCTGTTCCTCTTGTCTCTGCTGCCAGACTTTCTGTTCACAACTAACATCGTATACTACTTATGTCGATATAAGTAGCACACGTCACATAAACACAGTAATTTAATGTAGTGATTTCACATAAATTAGTATCTACTGATGTTGTTTAGAATAACAATGAAGATTTGATAGAGAACACCACATTTCTAATTGAAATGATTAATTCTCAAGATTTAGGTTTTCTTTTTTATCATTGTTGTTGGATGAATTCAATCTCTTCTATTATTTTCATCTTGTCATTACAATCACATCATGTCAATCTAACGTATATCATCTGTGCTTGACTATTTCTGGATATTATCTATCTGTTTGTCTCCCTGATCCTTTCATTAACATACCAGTGTTAATTCCTGAAGTTGTTTTGTATTCGAAATCCTTTTTTTTTATCGTGCTTAATTGTAATTTTGTTTTTGTCGTGGTTCTCTTTTTAAAAGTTGAACAATTTTACGAACCTGTTCATTTTTATTTTGGTGACAAATGGAATGTAACTTAAGATAATGTTTTTCTCCTGTTTATTCATGTCAGTTAATCCAGTTATCGATTATCGAATGGTCATTGTTGCTTATAGGAAATTTTCTTAGCTCTGTATCAAATCTGCTAGAAGTCTCAGAAAAAACGAATTAAGCCATGTAAAATCCCAATTCATTAGATTTCTAAGGCGTTTACATTTGTCAAAGTGCCATCAGAGAAGAAGCGTTTCGTGCACAAGTAATCTAAGTATAATATACAAAAGGAAAATACAACAAACCAAGTAATAACTATCAGTGTATTCAATTGGTCAATGTCAGGCAACAGACTGGAACAGACACTATACTCACTAAATATGGAGATTGGTACAAAGAAACTAATGATCAGTAAATCCACAAAGAATGAAGATAAATCAGTAAAACTATTGTGGAAATACAGTTTTAGTGATAAATGAATAAAAGTCAGGAAGTCATGTTAATGTTTAACGCGAAAAAACAAATTTTATAAACTGCACGTCAAAATTGATTGATAACGATGTAAGCTACTGAATCTCAGTAAGTAATATGTATAATTAACATCGAAACTCTGAGTTAAAGGTAAAAAGAATAAGTGTTTTCAATGGACTGTCAAACTATTTCACTGTTTCTCTTAAATACCACACCTCCCCATACAAATCCTTGTGTTTTTCTTAAATTAATGCCTATAACTTCAATTTATTGTTAATTTGTGTGCCTACCAAGTGTGTATCACAAAATCATCTCTATTGGTTTTTGCTTCTAATTCTCTCATAGCAAACAACTAATAATTCTCAGTGTCACCCATTGAAATATCCTGTCGGAGGTGGTGGTGGCAGTAGTGGGGCAACATCAATTCTATCTGTAAATAACAATTCATCATCATCAACTAATAACACAGGTCAGTTAAATAATGTAACACAAATGGCTAATCAGTTATATGTTGGTAAACCTCCTGATTGGTTGATTTATGAAGAAGCAGCATTATATTTAGTAAGTTGTTGTTGTGACATTTTTCGTTGCTTTCAATTGTTTGTTCTAAAATCATGTTTGTCACCACATTGTTAATAATGGTATTTTTTGTTTGAACAAAATATTATTTTTTACTGTCTTCTATGAATAACTCTATATTAGATGAATAAACTAATTAATCAGGTTTAATTTATATTTAAAGGAAAAGAAATTTACATTTAGAAATACTGGTTAGATTGGAATTTAAAAGTATTTAAATTATAAATTGTAGTGAACGAGAACACAACCGGGAACAATCGAGTGTTTTTGAACACAGATGTACAGTACAGTACATCTTGATAAAATCTGAGAACCATACAATGAATACTTAATTTGCAAAATGTCAATCCATTGTCTCAAAATTGACTGTTCCTTTTGCAAAAATCAGTCAGTCGTCTCAGATTTTACTGTTACTGCATTTCCATACCAATTGTTTTCTGTTCCCATCCCTTCCTCCTCGATTTTCTTGACCTTCTGCTTCCAGACATTCTATTCCTGATTAGCCTTTTTATACTACTCATGTCGATGTAAGTAGAATACACCACAAAACGACAAATGCTCTTATAAACAACTGTGATAATCTCCAAGAGTTTGATAATCGGAGTTCACTAAGTAATTCTAAAAGTGAAAAATAAGCGAATTTAGTTAATTTTAAATTATATTAACATTGAAGATGAATTGGTACAAGATATACGTTGTTCGGAAAAAATGAAGCGAATTATACAAAAAGACGAGAGATTAATCAAAAGAATGGATTAATGTGGTAGTCATTTCATGTATCAGGAGAATTTTGAAAGTAATCAGAAGAAGTATATTTTAGAAAGAACGTTAAGAAAAAGAGAATTCAGTGAGAAAAATTTTCTTTTGTATGAAATCATTTACTTAAGCTGTACATTCATATATATAATTATATGGAAAATATATATCTATAGAAGGATAGAAGAGATTGCATCATAAATTGGTTGGAAACTAAATATCAAATGAGGTTACGTACTAATCAAGGGGTAAAGATGAAAATAACTGATGGGTCAGATAATTGTTCAATTGACAGATATAAAGGAAAAACGACAAACATAAATGGCATAATAATAATAATAATAATGAAGTAAACTTGTATAATGTAATAATAATAACCGATTAGTGGTTAAAATATTTTTATGCACTACTAAAGCATTTTCATATCTGGGTCCCACTGAGTAGAAAGAGTGATTTAATTCATTCTTTATCCTCAAGGATCAGGCAAATCTGTTCCACTGACACAATAGATGAGACACTATTTCAACTTCGACAGACTCTCATTAGAAATGGTTATCCACCATGATACGTCGATAGCAACTTAACACCTAGACTTCATGATGAAAAAGCATCGACAGTACAGAAGAAAACCTTCTTTATGAATATGAATTTTAAAGGAGATACGGCTGCTGAAATCTTAAATAAACGGACCTCAAAATCCCTGAATAAAACGTTCTATTCAGCTAAGCTCCGTATTGTGTTGGGGTGATCCAGAAAACTTCTCGCAAAAGACAAAAAAGGCTCAAGAAACAGTAAGAAGCAGTTTATCCAATCAGTGTTCACTAGAATTTTAGCCAGAAACATCAAGAAAGTGAAAAGCCAAATGTCGAGTTTCTGACTGACTGATTACTATACTGCTACTTTGTTTATTAGCATTTCAGAATTTTCGGGAAACCCAAGGACATCTAAAATACTATAAAATTCCTATATTTTCTGTATTAAAACGAACTTTGGAGTAAAGTGCTTCTCGCATATTTTGAGCCTTTTCTCTCGTATTCAGGTCGCTGTGTAGTTCTAGCTTGGGGGTTACGAGAATAGCTTAGGAACCGAATATAGCGTCCAGTTAGCAAGACTTATCAATTGTTTTCTTAAGCCGACCTACTATTCATGAATGTGTTAAGGATAAACTTCCGCTTTGGGCCACATCAATGTGTATCTATAAATTTTACTTGCTCATGTGGGGCAAACTACATAGGCTGCACAAAGCAATCACTTTCCAAATGCATCTCAGAACACTATCCGAGATGGCTTTTAAAAGGAGAATGTAAAACAATTACTAGTTCTATACAGGAGCATTTAATTAACCATGGACACATCGCTCCAAAGGATTCTTCTTTTAAAGTAATCTACAGAGTCAAAGGAATTGGATCGAAGGGCAATCGAATCAATAGTTTATGCACTGTTGAGACATCGGCAATCCACGAACTCAAGCCCAAACTTCGCGTTCAGAAACAATTCTTCCAGCCTCTCATCCTTCCTTCGCTCTGATTCTATTTATTTATATGTTTCGGGCTTTTTTCCTTTCCTATTCACTTTTATTTGATTATTACTGAATTTTTAAAATTACTTTTTTGCATTTTAACTACTAGTCAGTTATTATTATTATGCCATTTATCTTTGTCGTTCTTTCTTTATATCTGTCAATTGAACAATTATCTGACCCATCAGTTATTTTCATCTTGCAGTACCAACGTAGTAACATCAAAATTTCGTCCATAAAATCAAATATAAATTACTATAGTCTTGTTTATGTAGATGAGGCATCCGTATTTTTAAGTATAAAGATAATAGAGTGCAAATTATATTTCAAGCATATTTTCGAAATTCTCAGATATTATTATTATTTATTATTTGAACACATAGATACTGGTACAAGGAGGTACCAAATACATATGCACCACACAAATCTCATTTGATGTGTGTGAGGGCTGTAATACTGCCCGGGTGCCCAAACCGAAGCAGGTGGTGTTCTTAGGGGGTCACACCCGGAGCCTTCGACCTGAAGTTCTGATACACAAGGCAGTGGAACATCGTAAAGAAATGCAGTCCCATGGAAGCCGGTGACCAACGATTAGTTCATACGCCATTTGTATCTTCAGGATCGTGGGGCTCAAGTGCATCATTGGTTTGGAATCAGGGTTTTCCAATTCCCCTAGGTAGACTGTCCATGTCCACCAACCGGGTTAAAGCGTCCTCCCGATTTCGTAAACAACACCTCAGCCTCGAGAAGGTAGTGAGTAGGATTTCCCTGGGAGAGGCTATATACGCGTGAACATATGAAAGCATTTCGAGAGGGAGAGCGGAATATCCCCCCTCTCGGTCGTACCAGAAAACGTGAAAACTAATAACTACTAATAAAACACAATCGACTTTAACTCAATATAAATCAACCAGAAGCATTTTACGTCTAAGATAGCACTATAAATCCCAAAACACTCCTACATTATTTATGATCAAATCACAATAATTGAAATTGATAAGATATAGTACAACTAACTATTCTTATTGAATAAAAAAATAAATAGAAGTTTAATTTACTCTTCTTTATCATTTCATGTACTGTATACCAGAATGAAGTATATTTAACTGGGTTTTTTTTTCGTTTATTATATTTGAATGTAATTTTGCCAGTGTGTTTAACACAACAGCATAGATACATACATTAATTCATTTATTTGTTTATAGAAGGTCAATTCAATTTGGTGAAAAATTTGTTTGTTTGTTTTTTCATATAAAGTACTGATTCATTTGCACATTTAATCTTTTATTCTTTTTTAAGTGTATCACAAAGTTACAAGAATTGAACTTTGAAATTAATAATCCAAATTCTAATCTGTCTACATCTACACCAAATTATCGTTTTGCTGAATTCTTTTTAAATAACTATCTACCTAATCGAAGTTATCGTGGTGCTAGACAATGTTTATTAGTTCACTTTAAAATGCAAAATGTTGTATCATCTGCAAATATAACTACATCATCATCAACACTGTCTAATAATAATAGTAGTGGAATTAATGGAGGAGGATGTTCATTAAATAATCCTTTTACATTTAATCCAGATGATTTATCACATTCAATTTCAGGTAAGTATTTTCTTTTTCTTTTTTTTATCTAGAGGACAGCTGGTCCAGATTGATTGGCTCGAGAGGTCTTTAAGCATGTTGGTTCAATTTTAGCGATTAGGTTTTAGCCAAAATCTGGGAGTTGGACGTTATCCCATCTGACTGGTCACAATCACTTATCGTCCTAATATATAATAGAGGGTTAAAATCATCCTGTGACAACCATAGAGGGATTAGTTTGACTAATATTACATCTAAAATACTAGCCTCGATAATTATCGGACGCCTAACTAAGACTCGTGAACTGCAAACACGAGAGAATCAAGCTGGCTTCAGACCTGGTCGTGGCTGCATCGACCACATATTCACCATTCGTCAGATTCTAGAACATAGGCATACTTATCGGCGTCCGACAATGGTGGTCTTTCTCGACTTAAAATCAGCATTTGACTCAGTAGACCGCGAGATTCTGTGGCAGTGTCTGTCATTTAAAGGCGTACCACAGAAGTACATAAACCTTGTAAAGGCTCTTTACTCGAACACTACTAGTCGAGTCAGAGCTTATGGCAAACTGTCATCCGCTTTTACAATTTCAAATGGTGTCCGTCAAGACTGTCCACTTTCTCCATTTCTGTTTAACTTCATCATAGACCTACTGATGGAAATAACATTCTCGTCGACTGAATTCTCGGGTAATGATCTCCTACCAGGAGGTCCACTTATCGACGTAGAATACGCAGGTGATATAGTCCTGTTTGGTGAAGACGCTGACAAAATGCAGTCTTTGGTAGCACTGAGCAACAATGCCAGAATGTTTGGAATGCCCTTCTCTCCCTCTAAATGCAAGTTGTCGCTTCAGGACTGGTCTGCGTCAACACCTGAATTAAGGATAGGAAGTGAAATAGTCGAACGCGTTGACAACTTCACTTATCTTGGAAGTCTGATCAGTCGTAATGGGTTGGTGTCTGACGAAATCTATGCACGGATTCAAAAAGCTGATTTGGCTATTATCGACTTACGTCACCTATGGCGAAGGTGAGATATCCGTCTATCAATTAAGGGACGAGTTTACTGCGCAGCAGCTCGTTCTGTTATACTTTACGGATGCGAAACGTGGTCATTGAGAGTAGAAGATACTCGTAAGCTACTAGTATTTGACCGCAGATGCCTTAGAAATATTGCTGGCGTCTGCTGGGATCATCGGCTATGTAATAGTGAGATTAGACGCAGGGCATTAGGGAATGAAGGTAAATGAGTTGATGAGGTTGTGAATCTTCATCGACTGAGATGGTTGGACCACGTGTTACGTATGCCTGAACACCGATTATCACGACGCGCAATGCTGACTAGTTTTGGGAATGGTTGTAAGAAAGTTAGGAGTGACCAAACCAAAACTTGGCATCAGTGCTTGAAGTCACAAACTTCAAGTCTTAGCCATGTTGATAGATGCAGACTACTTGGTTGGTGTCCGCGTGACTTTCGTAACCAATGTCTGGAGACTGTGGATGACATGGCTCAGAATCGATCACAATGGCGTAGGTGTATACACTCTGTCTTCTCTTAAACCATGAGATTGAAATTGCTTTATATCTTTCTTTCTACGAACTAATTCTTTCTTCCTGTACTCAATCCGTATACGCAATCTTTCTTTTATATATTACGACCACTGAATTAAGTACTTCTATGAGTCCGGTGTTCATGTTGTTGTGCTAATGAGGTATTGCAACTTGGACCGATGCATGTATGTGCCTGGTCCTACGTTGTAGCTGATTGACTAGAGGTTTAATTTAATCCTTCTGAATTTTTGTCGAGAGTTTTCTGTTTATGTTTTTGATAAATAAGACTAGAGCTAATGTATGCGAGCGAGCGAGAGATTGAGTGATATATTAAAATGAGATAGTGTTTACAGCTTCACTGGTTAATCATTAAATTAGTCGTCAATGGTTATTTCCAAAGGAGTGTAAAATAAAATGTCTTTGATCTAATTAAAATATTCATAGATTAGGTATCCATACAATAACACAAATCTTCATACAATTCGATGTTAGAATTCTTAGTTACTTCCTAACTTTCTTTAAATCGAACTTCAATTATTATTCACTGAATGGTGTTAGTCAGTCATTTTATTTAGGGCATACGGTATACTTCGGTTTTGAAAGTAATAATCGACTGATGGTAATTCGAGCAACGCTCATATAAATTAAACGTTTTATGTCTATAAATATGGAGCTTTCATTAATACTTAATCGAAAATAAATGATTTTTTATACAATTATGCACAATACCTTAATCCGTTGCCATTTAAAGCCTAACTCTCCACTTCAACTCAAAATTGATCAAGAATACAGTACAGACATGTTCTATGTATACCATTTTATGAAAATTGACAAGTTTACGGAAATACATGAGGTAATAAACACTTAAATATTTCTCCACATTCACTGGCCAATCACATGACCGGACATACAAGCATCGCTGCTAGTTGGTATTCTGAGCTCTGCATTATGGTTCCTGAACCACTGAGTAACACCATGTCTAGGACCCCAACGTGGGAGCTGTGATGAACCGATAGATTCCAGTTGTATATGGTTATCCTTCATACCACGACGATATGTTTTAAATATCTGGTTTTTCTTTCCGATCACAATGTCGACAAATATGATGAAGATAAAACTACATGTTAACGAGTGAATGTTTAATCAATTACTCTCTTATTATTTTATTTTTAAGGATATGTACATACTTCAGTGGTTACACTTCTCACTTTTTTTTAGTCTGTATGAATCTGATTAACCGCTGGATCATGGGATTATTTGATGGTTTTTGGTCAAATCTACTAATTTTTATTTTTATATTTGTAATTTGTCCACAAAATAATATGTAAAGTTAATATTAAGATTCATTTAAATCTCTTCTCTCTATACGTATTTCATTCACAGTGAATCCAATTTCTAGCTTACATCATCATGGTCCTAGTAGTCGAAAAGTAAAAAATAAGATGAAAAGTGCCGCTGTAGCTGCAGCTGCTGCCGCCGCCGCTGCAGCTGTCACATCTTCGCCTGTTATTCCTGGCAGTGTCGGTGGAGCTTCTCAATTCTGCAATAACGTAAGTGGAGCGTCAGGATCCATGTTTGGTGTTGGAGGTGGTAGTGTCGGTGGCGGTGGAAATCCAAGTGGTGCCGTTGCTGGTGGCAGTACTGCTACATCAGCCGCATCTGTGGCTGCTGCTCTGAATCGATGCAGAGGTTATCTATTTTATCAGGTAAATATCCATGTTTTGATTATATACGTTAGTAGTACAATCTTTCATGTATTGATTTTAATGTTTGTTATTCAGAAATTGGGATTATTTATTTTAAAATAGTGATAACATTTATTATTATACTTTTGTGAGATGGAAACGAAATGAAATTGTCATGAGCTACAGACTGTTATATCGGAAGAAAACTAAGTGGATGGTAACTCCCTGGAATTTTTTATCGACATGTATATGTATATTCTTGTTGTATAATTATTCAGTAAGTAGATTAATTATCTGTTTAGTTCTTTTATCATATTCTTTCAGCTGACCATTCAACTACTATTATACAAATTACTCTTCCTGATTTATTGCCAAATTTATTATTTACAGTCTCCTTTACTAAAAGCCGCTTTTGACTTGATCTTGTGTAATTGTTCTTTTATTATTTTATGGTGTGATGCAGTCTGGTCTGTGTATGTCTGAATTTTATTATTCACACAATGGAGAATGATTATCATGTTCTGGACTCATTGGGTAGGGGAATGTGTGAAGTTACTGTATTGAGGACTAATGAGGATTTAGAGTTGATTCAGGGCTACTGGTGCTGATTGGCATATCATTGGTTAACACAGGGACAAGGTAATAGAAATCGGTATCCCGACTAATGGTGTTGTCACGTATTATTTGATGGGGCCATAAGTCATAATATAGACATTAATGTTTCAGAAAGAAGAGAGACTGCAAATGAAATATTTATTGGATTGTTTTCTATATCATTACATTTGTGACTTTGTAAGCTTTTTCACATGATTTACCAAAATATCTTGTTGATGTTTCCCAAATATTCACCAACAGTGCAATTCACATTTATCTATCATTTTCTCTAGTGTTCTTGTCACTATTTAAACTGTTACTGGCTTTCATTTTTAACGCGAATAAATTTATGTAATTAATTTATCATTATCATTACTGACTATGTGGGCTTCAACTGTTTGAACTTTTGATAAGAGTTTGTAAATTATGGGAATGTCAGCTTTTCTCTCGACGACACTAACAAACATTTGTGATTAGAGAAACAGTCAGTCAGTCATTATTAACAACGTAGAATCTGACACGGTTGTGACTGTTCAAATTGCTTGACGTCACATCAACACAATGTGAGGAACTCACTATGTTTTGAAGGAGAGGCTAAAAAGTAATATCATAAATAGTGATAGTCTAAGTGAGAGAATGCTTAAAAAAAACGACTCAAACACTAATGTAGTCAAACCAACCACAGTATACTATCACGCGACGCATCGCATTCTCCGAATGCGCAATATTCAATCGATGGATTCTTCTATAAGTTGAAACAGCTGAAATACTGTTCCCAACTATTTTGCTGATATTGAAATGCTATTGTTTTAAAACTCAAAAGCGCTAACTACACTACTTTTATGACGGGGCTATTTATTTCGTTGTTGATAAAATAAGACTGGACTGAATGAGATGTTCGAATAAGTAATTTACCCAAGGGGCCTACAAAAGTATATCGAATTGTTCGCATCAGTAATCGTTTCCAGAATGCATTATTATGAATAACTGTAGACGAACTACAGAAATCTAATATATATGCCAAGAGACCTATTTTTGTAAACTTTTTCCCGTTTAATTTATTCATTGGCTTCGTTCTAAAATACCCCGATTGAAATATGCAGTTTGAACCATCTAGTAACAGTAATTAAACTTGTGAGAATATTCTTGAATGAGCTAAATTCCTCTGCATAACCTTCCATATTAGTAAATTGATTGCAATGTTTCTGTGTTCAGTTGACTTGACTGAAATATATTTAATTTGGATGATCGGTTACGTAGCGTGAAACTCATCTGGTCGATCAGTACTAAGTAGTACTGAATCAATTTGAAGTTTTTAAATAGACGCTATCAAATATAAAATATTAAGCATAATAGTAGTGACTATCTGTTAGGCTTCAATAGTTAGATCTTTGTTTTTTTTTTATCATGTTTTCTAGCCATGAAAGCATTCAACTTGTTCCATACAGTCAGGTTTGACCAGGTGAATAGTGTCATTAACTATAAAATAGAAAACAAGTGTGTAACTCACAATTCTATACCAAAAATGTACTTATTGTGTTAACTTCCAAATATCTTACCTTTTTCGTTTGTTCATAAATCCTTTATGTAGCATTTACAAGCATGGTTCAATTTAATGTTATCATTTGACCGCAACGATACCAATCATACTAATATTACTACTGACTCCAGTAACAATATATCAGCGCATTTATCGCCAATCATTCATACTTTGAAATTTGCTGAAGATAGTCAAGCATCATTTTTACGCAAAGCTATTCGAGATACATTATCTGTACCGTCTGTCCAAATCCCTCCTATTTATCGTTCATCTGGATCACGTAGAACTTGTGTTGTTGGTGGTGGTAGTAACAATAGTAACAGTAGTGCTAGTGGAGGAGGAAATGTAGGAAATACATCATCGTCATTATCATCAACTGCCTCATCAGCTCTAGGATATCATCCGAATACAAATACTAATGCTAGTGGTAGTGGTTCTGGTACATCCACTACACATTATAATATTCATAACTCTGGACAACTTTCCTCTCATAGTTTAACAGGTCATTCCACTATGTCTAATACTCCTGCTTTATTAACACATCATCGTTATCGTCATCATATGACATATGATCATGGTCAAAGTCAAAATTCCAATATTACTACTGCTGATCTAAGTTCAGCTTCTGGGTCAAGCACAGGTGTTGTTCATAGTGGTCCAATTATTCAGAAGAATCCCACACATATTGCTGCACTTCAAGTCAGTTTTATGTTTTGTGCAGATTTACAGATCAATTTTTTTCTTTTTTAGACCTATCTACCTGTAATTACTGAGTCTTTTATGATCTTTTAAATTCAGTTACAAAAGTTGTCTAGTTCTCTACATTTTGCTATAAAGCATCAATCAAGATATAGATTTTTTCTCAAAAGCCTACTGATATGAAGCGATGTTAACGTGTTCGTGTTTGAGGTAGATTTTCCATAGTTAGGTGTGTTTTGCTTACCTAATTCACTCTAATTAATTAGATTTCTGTCATATTGTACGGTTGTTCGAGTACTGATGCTAATATATAAACTTGCTATAGGTGGACCCAGACCAGCCACTTGAGTGGGGAAGGAACTTTATTAGGTAAAACCCGATTGGTAATATGTATATACACTCGTTCCTAAATGTACATCTTTCTCCCTTATGAAATAAAGTCATGTTTTTAACCTATGATATGCTTTTGTTTAGAAAAAGAAGCCAAATCTTGACCAATGGCGTGAGCTTAACTTAAGTCCTGTGTCTGGTCGATCTGTAGTGAACAAGAGTACCAGTGGGGATAATCGAATGTATTTGACACAAAATCTAACAATCAAATAGTAAATGCTTAATTTGCAAAATGTCCATTAATTGTCTCAAAATGACTCAGACTTCATTGTTCTTGCATTTTCATACAAATTGCATCCTGTTTCCATTCTCTACTGTTCGATCCTCTTGTCTCTCTGCTGCCAAACATTCTGTTCACGAGTAACGTCATGTACTACTTATGTCGATATAAGTAGCACACACCACAGATCCAGCTAGTATATGTTATACATAATTGATTTATAAGTAGTAATGTTGTTTGCGTTGAAATTATATATATATATATATATATATATATATATATATATATATAGAGAGAGAGAGAGAGAGAGAGAGAGAGAGAGAGACTAAACTTAATAAATAGTACGAGGGATTTCTTTCGTTTCTCTGAACTATCATGTTTGTCTTGTGACATCAATTAATACCAGTACAACTGTAATTTCTCACAAATCATCATCTGATAATTAATGATTTTGTAACCACTTTTTCGAATTGGACCATAATCTCTTCAACAATGTATTTATCTGAAACTTTCTTGTACAGTTGACTATCAATGTCGGGTCAACTGTAAATAATCTATCTCTCCTATATTATGAAATATTTTTAGAATATAATGAAATGATATATTAAGTGATCTTGTACTACTCTAACTAATAGTTAACGGAAATTTATTTTATTTAATTTAAACAAAAACTTTGATACAATTAGGCACCAACTCTATATGTGCCACCCAAATCATTTGATTTGTGTGAGGAACAGAATACTACCTGGGTGCCGAAACCGAAACTGATGGTTTTCTTAGTGGGCCACTCCCCTCAGCCTTTGACCTAGAAGTTTAATCCACAACGCAGTGGAGCAATGTTAAAAGATACAGTCCTATGGTAGCCAATGACCAACAATAGGTTCATACACTATTTGTTTCACTAAAGATTTCAATTCAAACATCTAAAGTTATTCACCATTGTCTGCTATAAAAATGACAGATGAAAAATCATACGAACTTTGAAATTTAAGACTTAAAATGAAATCTTTCACAAAGATCACACTCAACTATACATGAAACACACCGACTTTTTGAATAGAAAAATAACCATAAGTTCTGAACTTAACACATTACTTGAACAATTAAAAGAAAAACAAGAGGCAGATAACCTCAGTCCTTATTACGTTGATGAAAGCCTTTATTGTAGAGATGTTTAAGAAAGCTAATGAATCTTCTTTTTTTTCTCTAAAACTTAAAGGAGTAATTTTCAACGATTAGATTTACAATATAGTTAATGTAATACCTAAATAATTTAAAGCTTCTATGTATATTTTTCTGTTGTTATCAATAATAAACAAAAAAATCAATGAATAGGAACACAATATCAATCCAGATACCCTAATTACACCTGCAATGGTAATTAAAAATAAAGAAGAACGTGAAGCTCGTCAACGTGCTGAAACCTTATCAACTGCTAATCAAGTTAACTTATCGACTACTACTATTTCTTCTTCTTCATCATTATCAACTAACTGTCATATTACTAATTCAAATTCAACAACTTCCACAGTTGGAATGTTTCAAGGGGATAATACGTCAGATTCAACAAATTCACAACAAACTGAAAATGTTTGTTTACATTCTCACACATCACATCCATCATCATTATCAGCATCATCAACATCATTATCGGATCATGTATATAAAACATCTACGTATACATATTCTGGTCTTACTAGTAGTAGTGAATCGTCAATATCCACATTTAATCTTCTTGGTTGTTCAACTACTTCTAGTTCTCTACCTACAACTTCATCATTTTCAAATGGACGAACAAATGCACAATTGTCTTTTGCACATAATCTGTCCCATCGAGGAAGTAGTGTTATGGTATGTTTTCTTTCTTCTGTGTTGAATGTTTTATTTAAAAAATAAACGCATTTTATCATTATATATGAAACAGTTGATCATCAACCACACCAAAACATAACATCAGTTCATTGACAATTCGATTGAGCCATATGAATAGGTATACACTACCTGGTTGGTGTTTATGTGATTATCGTAACTAATGGTTAGTGACTTTTAGTGAAATGTCTGAAAATCGTTTGCAATGGCGCAGGTTCATTCATTAATTGTCTTCCCCTAACTTATGAGCATCTGAATTTTTCATAACTTTTTGTTTTTATCTCAATAATGTATACTTTTTTTTCGAATCGTATCCTCGATGCTTAATTTTTTCAATCACCACTCATACTGTTACTATCTCTACTATTCTGGGATTTGGCCTGACGATTTCCTCTCTCTGTGTTAATGGAATAATGCAACTTCAATCGATGTACACACGTACTAGTTTCTACGTTGCGACTAATTGATTCTTCGATAACAGATGACGAATGTGATCCATAGAGATTAATTTTAGTTCGGCTTTTTATTTTTTCTTGATCATTACATTTATTTGCTTACTCTCAGACATCTATATTTGTCTGTATTACCTTCACACACACTGAACATTTATTTTTAAAATCAGTTATATATATATTCGTAACTTGACAATTCCATATTCTGCTTTTTTTCCACATGAAGTTACCGATTCGTTCTGGATTCTGTCCTAATACCGTTACACCGTCAGGTTCCGTTTTATCGTTTACCAATCAACAGCAACAACCACATCGTTTAGTTGGTACACAGAATACTTCATCATCATCAATTGGTCATTATCAATTTCAACCTCGGCAAACATTATTAAATTCTTCAGTTGGTCGTCTTACCCATTTAACTTCAGGTTCATCAATCGTTAGTACACCTCATCTAACTGGTACTCATCATGTAATATCGTCAGGAGCAGTTGCATCAGTATCATCATCATCATCATCATTAACAGATGATAGTGGAAGTACACGAAGTGTAGATTTGAATTCTGGTAGTATTTTAATTCCTGGCAACTGGCGTACAGCAACGAATCCACGTTCACTTAACGTCCAAGTAAGTTTATCTAGTTTTCACTCTTTAAATTTAATTAAATTCTGGTAACCATCATTTCTATTCATTTTGATAATTGGGATAATTTCATTTACCTTTTTATATTATTCAACATAGAAAGTACTGAGTAATTTTGTTGAGGTCGCAGACCAGCTTAAGCTAGTTAAACAACTATTGGGAACCAGAAAATACTGAACAGCTGTTTCACTCTAATATCAAACTTCTCATCCACGGTTTCAATAACACTCAGCAATCTCCACTAACCACTACACTGAATATCATCTTATAATCACTAGTGACTAATTTCAAGAAATGATTCCTGGAGTCCTAGTGAAAAGTCGTGACCATGTTGGATATGAGGCAGCTATTCACTGAGACAATGATATATAATTGCATAATATTGCGAATAATTAGAGGTTAGATACATAAACCATAGAATGGTATCCCAATAGTCTAAACATTAAACGTTCGCCGCGAAATCTGAATCTCCTGACGTCTATTTCTGGTCGGATCGCGCATACGCACTACTAAAGTCCAATTTTAAAAGCTGTCCAGTGCTTTCTGATTTTCAATGGCTCTCCAACTTTGATTGGTTCGTGCTCTCAATAACATTTAGGGATTTCCACAAATTCCTATACTGATGACCACGTTTTATTTTACGAAAATAATTCTGTATTTTCCGTCAGTCAACGAATGGTTATTATTATTCCAAATAAATATTAACTTTTCTCATTTTATTCATCATATAGACAATTGTTTCATCCACACCTACCGTTCTTCGACGTTCTGCTACATTTACTGGCATTGGTCTAAGTAATCAATCAACCAGTGGACTTCAGACTTGTCGATTGAATCCTACATTGTCCAATATTTCACAAAGTCTATCAACCACTCCATTCACTGGTACATATCTAAACACACAAGTTACAAAAATTCCGAATTCCACTTCTTCAACAGGACAATCTAGCTTTTATATACATCAACGTCCACAATTTCTGTCTAGTACACAAACATCTGGTTCTTCATCTGGACATGGTGTTCTTGCTACACCATCGAATATTGCTGTAATTCCTGGTGCATCAAATAATTATTCATCATCTGTTACACATATACCTCAAATTCTTCGTCCTAGAAATAATTCTGTAAGTTATAAATTGTTTTCATAAACAAATTTATCATTATTCATGGTTCAATAAGTATTTTCTGTGAATAGTTTGATAGAAATTAGGCGCTAAATATATAAATGTTATTATTTAGTTTCGTATATTCTGCATGGTTTCTTTATCATTGTTTATTGTTTTTCTATCTTTTCAGCTTCGTGGTTCAATTGTTCAACCAACATTTGTACGAACATTCTCAACTGCCGGTGTTAGTGGTACAAGTGGTTCAGTTATACCTGTTGCAGTAACACAACATGGAACTCGTTTATCACCGAATGTAGTTGGTGGTGTATCTACAACAAGTATGTTTCTTGGACGTGTCGCTACACTAAATGTTTCTTCAAATAATCCATCCGTTTCTAGCATTCTTAATGCTTCACGTACTGGAACACAACGTAGTGTATCACCAACTGTTTTTCAGTCATTACGAACATGTATTTCAGGTGGTGCTGTAAATTCTGTTGGGAATGAACAACATTCATCATCACAGAGTAACAACAACAACAACAGTGGTATTAGTGGTGGCAGTAGTAAATAATAAATTGAAATATTACCATCTTTTTGACCTAAACTAAAAGAGGGTAACACTTAATTATTTATTTATCCATTGTACATTAGTAACTCTCATGCAGTCATTCATTTCCGTTATATTAATTGTTTATATATATGTATAGATGGGTATCATATTTCGAATTAAAGTGTAACCTAATAACCAGTGATCAGTGAAGAATCCGTACTTTTTTTCTTGATTATCTGAGGAAAATACAGTTAGAGTTATTGTTGTGGTTTCTCTCTTTCGCTCTCTAATTATACAACCTAGAAAAATAACATTGAACTATTATCTAAACGTCATATTGTATTTACTATGTATTTATGTTCACTTCCACAAACACACACACATGTCAACATGACTTGTTTATGGCTCTCATTCTATTTCTTTGTGATTTCCTCTTAATTTTATATGATTTCTTGATCATATATGTTATATAGTCCATATGTATATCCTCTGGTTTATAGTATCAATTATTTTCATTGTTATTCTTTCCATTTCTTTCATTGTGCAAAGTTCTGTTCCATACATTGTTAAATTGTATCAGCATTTTTGTTTGTTCGCTTAGGCCATTGTAAAAATATATGTATATGTAAACTGCAAGTTTCTTGTTTAGTTGCTGTTATAATTCTCTCTTATTACAACTCAGCTATTCCTGTTGCTTAGTAGTCTTGGACACTAATTCACTCGACGAAGTCTCCAAATCAGAACACGACTGAACAGGAAAGAAATTATATTCGAAAGAACAAGGGTAGATGGAAGTAAGAAACACAATAAGAGATTCGTTAGTATATTTATAGTTTTAACATGAGAAGATTCTAAAGTGTTCTCCAAGTATCGACTAGCGCTGATTGGATAATAATTAACCAATCAACGCAATCATGCATTGAGCATGCTTTAATCCAATCTATGTCCCGCTAACAGTTGTACTATTTTTTTCTAGAAAGAGATTATAAAGGTTAAGAAAAAAGCGTCTTTGATTTGTCTAATTCATAGTTTCACAGGTTGAAATCATGAGTCAGTTGAAGCTAGACCACCATCGAAAACCTGGATGCACTGGACAGCCGTCTCGTCCTAGTATGGTACTCCTCAGCAGTGCGCATCCACGAACCCACCCCCGCGGGATTCGAATCCAGGACCTACTGGCTTCGTGCGCGAGCACTTAAGCATTAGACCACTGAGCCGGCATCCAACGGTGTTAATGTCTAACTTCAACCAATCCACGAAACGGCCGTCCAGTGCATCCAGGTTTTCAATGGTGGTCTAGCTTCAACTGACTCATGATTTCAACCTGTGAAATTTCCTAAAATCTCCACAAAACTCATTCTGATAATAATTTCATAGTTGTTAAACCGTTTAAATTAATACTTTTGAATTTGTTGACGGGTACATGATTTTGTTCAAGGTTTGACTTAATTATACGACTAACACATATTATTAGTCGGACTCGGACTTAATGAATATGAGATACATATAATTTTATTCTTGAATGAGTTTCTGTACATATCTCGATTCAGGTTAGCTAATAAAGCCTCCTATGCGTTCTTCCTTCTCACTCTTATAGGTGAATAATCTTGTTTATAGGAAGCGTATATATTAGTATCAGAATCGGACGACCGTGCAACACAAAATTCAATTCTTAGTAAAAAACATTTCTACATATAATTTTAATAGTCGAATTCATGAGTCGATCTAAGCTAGATTACCATTGAAAACCTGGAAGCGCTGGGTGGGCGTTTCTTCCTAGTTTTAGACTTTTCAGTAATGCACATCCACGAATCCTCACGCGGGATTCGGACCCACGAATCCTTATTCTAATTTCTACATGTATCGGTATGACTTGTATAATTAGCGATGTTTCATCTAGCCTTCAGAAAGTGGTGAGCATACATTGTTTTCAATAAAACAAAACATGCACTCATATTTTACATGGGTAAATTAGTCTAAAATTGATGGATTGTAAAAGAAATCCCAGGAAAATGTTTTAGTACTAAATTGAAATGATTGGTAATGTTTTTTTCCCTTGAAATTTTAAGCATTCAAATACAATCCTAATCAATCAGTGTGAACACTCACATTCAAATCTGAAAGTAGTTTTGACTACCTTGTAGGTCATTAGTAGGGGTTCTGACTTAAGGCCATCTTTCCCGTTTTTCAAGAATTATGGTTAGTTTTTTGACATATTTTTTTAAAATTATTGCTACATAACATCAGTAACTCGAGTTTGAATTCATTCGCATTGAAGGTTAATTCTCTATGGCCATAAACAGTGTTAGTGAATATTTATCATCATTTACAAGTTCTCCTTTGAAGAGTTAAGAGGGCAGAAACATGACAGAATCATTGTTGTCACCCTGAATAATTCATGCGTAAAATTTGTGACGTATTTTAGTATTCTTACCTTACTAAATCATCTGTTCTTCAGTAAATTGGTAAATAAAATTATTTATTTACTAGTTTACTAAAAAACAAAATAGAATGAAAACAAAGCTGATTGATCCACATGTTATTTATCATTAAGCATGTAATATAATGAGCATTTGATATAATGAAAACCCCTTTTTGATATTAATCAACATATGCTCACTAGTGACGGTCTCCAAGAGGTATTTCCTGGAGCTTTAGTGAGAAGCAGTGACCAGTGAAGTTCAACCGAATCTGTTGTGAGATTGTAACTCACTGAAGACAATGGGGTATGTATCGCTCAATTTGGTGGATTGGCTGAAGTTAGACATTAACACTGTCGGATGCTGGCCCAGTGGTCTAATGGTTAAGCGCTCGCGCGCGAGACTGATAGGACCTGGGTTGGAATCTCACGAGATGGGATCATGGATGCGCACTGTTGAGTAGTCCCACAGTAGGACGAAACGGCCATTTGAACACATAAATATTAGTATAAATGGGCAACGAGAACATATGCGCCACAATTCACATGATTTGTGCGTGGGCTGTGATAATCCTCGTGAGTGCCCAAACCGAAGCAGGTGGTTTTCTTAGGTGGCCATACCCGGAGCCTTCGACCTAAAGTTTTGATCCACAAGGCAGTGGAGCAACGTAAGGAGAGGCAGTTCTGTGGTAGCCGGTGACCAATAACTGGTTCATACGCCGTTTGTTTCCTCAAGATACTGAGTCCCATGTACACCATTGGTTTGGAATCAGGGTTTTCTGACTCCCCTAGATGGGTCCCCTATATCCACCGACCCGATTAAAGTACATGTTATTCGCTCTTCGTCCTCTCAATTTTGTAAGCAACAGTAATGCCGCGAGGAGACAGCAAGAAGACGGTGTATGGAACGAATGTTATACCCTTGAAAAATTTCACTCCCCATTTTGACGCTTGCCTTTACTGATATGGGCCTTCTCGATGCTCGCGCATATTGATGTGACTCTTTGATAGTTCACCTGTTGCTCGCTCTCTTATTAATGAACACCTCAGTAAAATATGTCCACCTTCAAAAATGTTTGTTTTCAGATCACGGAGGTTTTAAATGCAAATGTAAACCTGATAAATATCTTGTAAGCTTAATTCATTTTTAATTTGTATTGTATTATTTTTCTCGTGTATAAGCGCTTCTTGATTATTTACTCGTAAATCTTCGTAAAATACTTTGAAAGTTCAATGTCTAAGATTAGAAACACTGAGTCACTTATAATCAGTGTAGAGCGAAAATGTTCTTTAGCGCAAGTCGTAATATCACATTAGCACAAGGAGATGAGATTATAAGATAAATGGCAAAGAAGTCAGAAGAATGTAGTATCAACAATAAAGAAAAAAACATTGAGAACATAAATCAGACAGCCAGAATGAAAAGGCATATAGAAAAGTCTTCTGGAACTCAAAATTTAGAGTAAGGTAAGGTGTGAATGCATCTATGCCATTATGACCGATTCTGAGCCAACTCATTTAACTAGTAATCTTGGTTGTTTGGTAACTGATCAAGTGGGCTACATTTACCAACATGGCTCTGACTAACAGTCAATAACTGTATAGAGTGGTGCCACGTCTTAGATTACATTATCTCTAAATTTCTTCGAACACTAGCTAATATTACCGGTCGAAGTAAGTGGTTGTTAGGCATAGGTAAATCATGTCTCAACCATCTCAGTTGATAAAGATTTACATTATCACCAATCGATTTATCATCTATGTGTAACCACAGCATCTCCTAGTTGGTTGCTTTACAACAAGCGACTAGTACTTCAAAGACAATTATTTTAAAATACCTGCAGTCATCTACACATGACTTCTGCTTTCATAGACCATGTTACACCTTCATAAGTGAATACAGAGTTGGCTAAAGACATTCGGACATTTTTAATCCATCATGAGTTTCGCCAGATATGAATGTAGTAGGGCTGATGAGGCATTTAAAATAAGTAAATTAGTTGACGCAATCGATTACTTGACCATCAATTATTTAGATCAGCTCTGAAGCATTGATTGAATAAATGAATGTCTAAATAGACTATCAACGTTTAAACATTTAGAGAAACATTTCAAAAATATGGGTTTTTATTTCTAATCTAGATAATATAAAAATCAACTTTGGTGATGAAATAGATTTTCTAGCCTCCATTCATACAATCTAGTTCTGAAATTTAAGACTGAATTACATTTGTAGTTCTATGTTAAAAGAGTTCAGATTTGTAGTCGTTCTCTGTTAGTGGAAATCGGACAGGTAGTCACGATTAAAATAATGTAATTTTAAGAAAACCGAGTATAGCGAAGATAAAACAAACCTTGATCATGATCAAACTGTTAGTGAGCCATGCTTGTAACGGACTAAGTTAATTTTATAGTTAAAGAAAACAATCACAAGTAAATAAGAACACGACAAACTGAATGTTTTAGGTGAATTCAAAGTAAACAATGAAACCTGACAAATCAGGCAGCCTTTTTTGATTATCCTTAGAATTGAGTAAGGTATGTATACGTATTAAAGTAAGAGTCAAACGTTTGAGTAATGAACTGAAGTCTAGTACATGTG